CCAACCGCGCCGCCAAACAAAGACCGTCCGGGAAAGGAATATTGGCTGAAGACTGGCCGTACCAACTTGACCCTTTCCGAGCCGCATATCACATCACACCGCAGCGGAAAAAGAACAGAGCCATGCCAGGACAAGTAGCTCATATATACCTTATCACAGACTCCCGTAGCCCCTGCCGTACGGCACCCTTTCTCCCACCCTCCTGAATCAGACGAAACCTCACCAAGCTCGCCGCCCACCATGGTTTCCCCTCCCCTTAGCACTCTTCTTCTAGGTAACTAACCTGCCTCCTCTCCTACCCCGTCTCTCCTCTCTCATCCCACCCTCCTCTCCCTCCTCACCCAATCCGTGACCCCGAATACCCCGAACTAACCCCGCAACCAACCACCCCAGCGCTCGCCGCCCCGCTCACCATCCACGGGGCACCGACCCCGACCCCAACCAACACCGACACCGCCCCCAACCCGGACACCACCATCTGCACCAACACCACCCTCGCCATCTCCCTCACCCTGACCCAACCCCTCCCCTCCCAACATCAACAAACCACCCCCCTCGGCAACGGCGTCCCCCTCCGCATCATGCCCCTCGGCGCCTCCATCACCTACGGCACGGCCTCCTCCGACGGCAACGGCTACCGCGCCGCCCTGCGCAACCACCTCGTCTCAGGCCCGGGCAACAAAGTCAACATGGTTGGCACCCGCCAATCCGGCTCCATGCGCGACCGCGACGTGGAAGGGTGGCCGGGGTTCCGCATCGCCGAGGTGCGCGCCAAGGCGATGGCGCCCGGGTGCGTGCCGCACTACCGGCCGAACGTCGTGCTGGTGAATGCGGGGACGAACGACGCGACGCAAAATTTCAGCGTCGACGGCGCCGGGGCGAGGATGGAGGGGCTGGTGAGGGATCTGTGGGCGGCGAGTCCGCGGGCGGTGGTTGTGTTGAGTACGCTGTTGGTGAATAAGAATGCGGAGGCCGAGAGGAATGTAAGGGTGATTAATGCGCAGTATGTGGATTTGGCGAGGAGGTTGAGGGAGGGGGAGAGGAAGAGGTTGGTGTTGGTGGATATGCATGGGCCGGATGGGCCGACGACGGCGGATCTGGCGGATGATACGCATCCGAATGATGCGGGGTATAGGAAGATGGCGGATATTTGGTTCAAGGGGCTGGTGGCGGCCAGTGATGCCGGTTGGTTGCAGGCGCCGGAGTCGGTGGCGGGAGTGCCGGTATGATGGGGCGGCGTAGTGGAGGGGGAGGGAGATGGGGGTGCATTGGTTGGCGTTGGATGAACACAGCGACGTTTGGATAGGTTTACGTTTGAATTAGATGTAATGAAATTAGTTCCTAATGTGATTTTGGAATAAGCGGAATGGTATCTCGGATACTGTCGAAGTCGTAGACAGAAAAGAAGAAGCGAGCGAGAACGTACTTAATTATACCACATTCCCTCGTGAGTAACGAGCCCGATACAAGCTGGTAACAACGATGTTATATCAAAGAGAGAATATCAAGTGTATTATTGGGCTCTCCCGGCAGGTCCGAGCGTGAGTAAAGCCTTGTCGCTAGAAATTCGTTGGTGGGTTGACCACACAACGTGATGTTGTTCCGCTCTCCGCTTTGATATCCTGAATCAACTCATCCGATGCCAGCCCCCAACTCCAGGTATACGTAAATGCCCTATTTCCATCATCCAGACGTAAGGAGTGCCGGGTATCCCAATGCAACCTGTCCCAACCAACCCACCCAGCCAAACCAGCCCAGCAAGCAGCCCGAGAGAAAATGAAAACCACACGACCCAGCCCACCACCTTAGACCATCACAAACCACACCCAACCCCTTCACACCTCCACCCCCCCAACCCACCACCCATCCCCCCCCGCCCTTCGCACCCGCCACCTCGGTTCGTCCGCCATGCGCGGCACGTTCAGATCCGCCAACAGCCGGATCATCTCGCCAAAAACAGATACAACTCGCCCAGTTGGCCAAACATGGTCTCCAGACCTCGCCCGGCCGACAGAGTGAGCGGACGAGACGCCGGTCCTCCCTCCCGACCTCTATCTTCATCTTCCGCATCCGCGTCCGTATCGGAATTAGAGTTGGAGTCGGAGCTAGGCGTTGCTATCAGACTCGTAGCTCTCGATCCACCATGAACCATGGGCCCCGTGGTGCCCGTGGCAAGCAGCGCGGACTCGCTGTGCAGGGCTCCGCACACGTGTCACAGCGCCAGGTGGCGCGCAGGCGTAGCGAGGTTGCCGAGGGTAAGAGGGCGGTCCTCTGGTCCCCTTGGGCTTGGGAGGAGGTGGCCGAGGAGGGTGGAGAGGGGTGGCGGGGGGATTGAAGCGGGTGGGAAGAGGAGGGGCGTGGTGGTGGCGGTGGTGGTGGTGGTGGGTTTGTTGGTGTGGGCGCTGGTGCTGGCGGTTGTTCGAGAGGGTGGGGGGTAGAGTGGGGTGGCTGTGGTGGTGATGGTTGTTGTTGTCATGTTGGATGTGGTGATACGGGTAGGAGGCGGCGAGGCGGGTGGTGTAACGTGGTTTTGGGGGCCGGTTCGGGGGCCGGTTTTGGGGGCTGAGCAAAATCAGTTGGAAATTCGTCGTTGGAGTGTTGAGTGAGAGGGAGCAAGGGCGATCGTCCGGTGAAAAGATTGTTCTATCAGTGTTCGGGCGGGTCGGACTTACATAGATCGGCAAGATGTGGGGATGCCCTGATAAGGAAGGAAGGCTCGGCGGGTGCTGGGGGCTGCCGGACTCCGAACCGGTGTCTTTGCCGAATCTGTATGCAATCCAACTCCGAAACTCCGGTGTGATTGGGGGGGCATGTGGGTGCCCTCGCTTGAGCCTAAAAGACTGTATCTTCTGATAAGGCTATCACGATACCGTCCGATATTGAATGACGATAGCCGTTTTAACTGAAGACGATCACATCGCCACCAATTTGACCGCATTGTTTCATTGTTATACGCCTACTATAGCAGTGATCATGAGAGCCCAGGGCATAGGGGGTGGTTCTCGGCGGGTGCGGATCTTCCCCAATTCCCCCGGAGCATCTCACCATCCCTTGCATTTGCGGACGCTTATTGGTCACGGTCCATGATGTCTCAGCCTGTCGCATTGCTCATCAAGCATCAAGGAAGGAGCCGGTACACACCATCTTGCTCGAATATACGGTCTCTTTTGCTCCTGACGCGCTCGCTAAACGGATGATGCCTTGAGGGAAAAAGACCAGAATTGGGAACAAGGTGGCAGCCGGCCCCACAGCTCAAGGTCGGCAAGTGGATCCGGCTTGTGGTCCATTCGGAGGTTATTCGGGCAAGGGAGAGAAGTCGTCTATTTTAAGCCTCGACGCCGTCACGGTTATCTTGAATCAAATGCACGTTTGCTACCTCTTGAGATATCAGACATGACACGATTGTGACCTGCATATATGCACCAAAGGAATGGGAAATGGAAACCATCTAGATCTTGCCCATTGCCCGATCGGGACATGCGGTCCGATGTGGGCCGGCCGGTCCGGGAAGGCCGATGCCGGGCCGGAGCGCCCGAACTTGGTCGGCAACCCATTTAATCCCCCACCACCGCCAGCCAGATCACCACGTCTCCCTCACCTGACCAGCTATACCCGTTGCTCTAACCCAACAGTAAACAACATAGAGAATAATAATCAATGTTACCACCCCCGCAGTATCAAGAGTTCCTTTCCCCGGTGACGCCCTGAACTCCACCTAGGACCGGCCGCAGAGAGTCAAAGTGGTCGAGTGAGTTTAATATGCGGAACCCCACCAACAGCCTCGCGAGTTGGCCATGTACTACCAGGAGGATCTTCACTCCAAGCGTGGACCAAGGAGCTTCACCGAGCCCGGCGTCGGCAACGCAGCTGTCTGTTCAACACCCGTTAGCACCCAGCGAACTCCAACTCCAAGGAAGGGTGTGGAGGTAAGGAACCAGGTAAGACACAACAACATACCGGATCATTCAAAATCGGCGTCGGCCGCCCCTGCCCCCCTCCCACATCCACCACATCCACCCCAACCATCGCCGCCGCAGCCGTAGCAGGCGTTGTAGCAACCTGCACCCCAGCCCCACCACCAGCACCACCCCCACCCGCCGACGAAACCACACCCGCACCCGCACCCGCAACAGCCGCGCCCTGCAGCGCGCTCACCACCCGATTCACCCCATTCTCACCCGCCTCACCCGCACCTTCGGCCCCTTCGGCTCCCTCAAAGGAGATGGCGCCGTCGCCGACGACGAGGGCGGGCGAGTAGGCGCCGAGGTTGATGTTCAACGGGAGGGGGAGGGCGGTGGTGAGGGTGGGGGGCGGTGAGGAGGGTGAGGGTGAGGGTGAGGGTTGAGAGGAGGAGGAGGGTGCGGGTGAGGGGGGTGGTGGTGGATTTGATGGTGGTGGTGGTCGGGTTGGGGGGGTGGGGGGTTGGGGGAGGGGACATGTTGGGTTGGGGGTTGGTTTTGCGGGGTGGTGTGAGTTTGGGAGTGGGAGTGAGAGTGGGGGGTTATTGGTTATTAGGTAGTAGTAAATGCGGATGGGTGCCTGACCCGGGTGGTGAGGTGGGAGAAGAGATGGGGCGAGTCCAGCTCGGGAGGGCGGCAGATGAGGGAAGTTGGGTGATGGAAAGAGTCAACGAAGAGTAAGGGCAGGGCCGAGCATCATTGTATGTACGACTGATGGAGGGACGTTTAGATATGAGATGGTCGGGAACTGTCTCTCCCTCGCCTCCGTGTCTTGGGGTTGTTCTGAGACGAGCCCCCGGAGCATCTTAGTACCCCATTCCAGAACAAGCACAAATCCATGCCGATACTAGCGTAAGCTTAAAACGGCGAGGGTAAAATGGCATTGCGGCTAGACTTGACGTTGTCGACCGAGGACCAAATTACCACGACCCTCGGACCTGGACAACGGCAAGTGATACGCGCTCCGGCCATCTAAGACATCTTGGCAAGACAGATAAGCCTTTTGACCGTTGGGGAAGGACGATGTGCCAAGAGAAAGGAAACGGGAAGGTCGTATTTATAGAGGCCTGTTGTCGATCGTGTCTCGGCGACTTAGCAGAGCTGAACCTAGAATCCCGGGGGTGCGACATTTGTGATGCACCCGTAAAACGAGGACTCAGGTCTGTGCTGCCGGCTGCAAATGCCATTCACCGTGTGTATCGGCCATATTGGAGGGCAATCTCGGCTGCAACTGCCTCTGGCCGCTGTTCTCGACTCGTGTTTCACATGTGCGTCGAAGCGTCCATGCAGCCTGGCCCCTGAGATTGCCAAAGTGCGGTAGAAATAACCAAGAATAAGTGGTTCTTACAATTATCACCCGCCCTTCCTACGATGTATCAAGCCGGAAAGGAACGGGATCACATCACTTTTGTGGTCGCCCACGCCTAACTATAACTGACACGGTCTCATGCGTGTTGGGTATCGGAAAGAAAACACAGCCCGCCCCGGAACTAACGTCATACGCAAACACTGTCCGCTCTTACATAACATAAAATACATACATCCGTCTAGCCAAGCTGAGCGGCTCACTCCTCAAAATCTTCGCCGCCGTTGTTGTCACCAAACGGATCAAAGTCCTCCTCCTCGTAAGTGTCCTCTCCGAAGCCTTCCTCACCGCCAAACTCATTGTCATCTTCCTGCTCCTCCTCTTCCTCTTCCTCGGGAGGAGCAAGCGCCCTGGCGACCCTCTCCTGAGGAGTTTCTGCCGTGGCAGCTGGTGTCGGGGTCTGGACCCCGTTGGCGTCGTCGCTGCCGACGTCGCTACCGGCATCGCTTCCAGCGTCACTAGGAATCGCACTGCGGCTGCCCACCGAGCTGGTGCCGCCATATGTGCTGCCAGGACCCGTCTTGGAGAACTCGAAGAGGTTGCCCATGCGCGAGTAGTCGAGTTTGGTGCTGATCGCCCGCGTGCGCAGCATGTTCTGGGCAGCCTCGGTGGCAGAGCCGGCGGGCGATGCTTGCCCCTCGCCGATGCGCGGTTTCCGGGCTCGGCTGCGCTTCTGCTTCGGCGGATTGTTTTGCAATACCTTGGCTTCGAAGATTTTTTGCTGCACCTTGCGCATGTAGTCCTTGTTGTGGTTGGCCCAGATCATCTCTTTCAGCAACACATCCCTCTCCGAGAGCTTGCAGAACATGACTTCAGGGTCGTCCTTGAACTCATCTTCGTGCACAATGGGATCGTCCGAGACATTAGACTGTGGGGTGAGGCTGGGGGCAGCCCCATTAGTGAGGGGTTGGGCAGCCGTTTCGGTGCTGCTTTGGCCCGGGGCCTCGCCTGCATTTGCCTCGGGCAGAGCAGGCGCTGGCGGTAAGTTGGCGTGGGCCGTGGTCTCTTTCTCTCTTCGCTGCTCGATATCTCTCGTGACAAGGGCAGAGGCACCAATCATGACAGGGTCGTTGAGATGCCCTTGCATCTCCTGTTCAAGATTGTTCTCGTCGAGCTCCCATTCGTCGTCGATTCGTAACACCGGCTTCTCCGGCTTTTGGTTGTTCGCCTCATCGCCACTCGGGGGCGGGTTGTTGCCATGTTCCGGGCCGGGGACCGGCTCCCTCGGCTTGATCTTCATGTTCTCCATGCCGGGTATCTGGATGCCTTGTGCTGCAGCCATAGCCATCTCACTACTTGGGTCGACTTCCTCGGGCTCTTCGTCGTCCGAGTCGCCGAATTCATCCGCCAAATCCTCGAGCTGGCCGTCAACCTCTGCTGTCGCGGCGTTGGCGATGGTCAGATCCTCCTGGGTAGGTTTACGATAAGGGACGGCAAAGCCATCCTTGTCGACGCCCGGGGCGGGCGCGTCTCCCGCCTGAGGTGTTGGTGGAGCGGACTGCGCCGAGGTCCCGGAAGTCTCGACCGAAGCACCCCCGTTTTCGAGTGCCGGGTCGATAGGAACAGGCGGCACTTCGGGTTCGGTTGTTGTTGTTGTTTTCTGCCGCTTTGCAGACTCTTGCATCCCCGATTCGTCTCCGGGGTGGCTGCTCTCCTACTGGCTGTGCCTCGCTTCCGAACCTTTTTAGCGTGCTTTTCCTGCCATTCCTTTGACTGCTTGTAAACAAACGGCGGATCATGCGAAGCTCCGGGAGGGCTTTGGCCTCATGGAAGTCACGGATTGTCATCTGCGCCGAGGGCACGTTGGCGAATTCTTCCCATACGCTCCTGCAAGGTGGTCATGGTGACCTTGGCGATGTAGACCACTTCCCTGACCGTACGGCGGTAGTTGTGCGCCCGAGCAGCCATGATCAAGGCGGCGCCGCAGATACCAGCCGGCCGACGGCCATGAGTGATGTTGTCGTGACGCATGCGTTGGGCGATGCGGATGGCGGAGAGAGCCACTTTGTTGGTGTCGTGGAGGAACTCCAGCTTGGTGGCGAAGCGGAAGATGAGGTCCTCGATGATGATGGGTTTGGTACCATCTTTCATGTCGGGAAGAGCGGCGAGCAAGTCTTTATAACTGCGACCAAGCAGGAAGACGTCGGTCTTGATGATGTCGGCCAAGTCGATCAGCATGACCTTATTATTGTCCTCTTTTCGACACACTGCATAAACGCAGACGGCAGCCACGGTATTCTTGCGGCGGCCTTGGATGAAGTTGCTGTTGGAGGCAAACTTGTAGACCTGGAAGGCTTTCTCGGCCACGAGAGGTGCAATCTGGAGTTGGTGGGCGAATTGGTTCATGAGTTGCTTGGCCTCCCTGAGACTCCGCTCGCGGGCCTCACTCGCACCAGCGCCAGCCACACGGCGAAAAGCGAGCCCGCCAGCTGTGGGGCGGATGCCTCCTTGGTCTGCAGCCAGGTAGCTCCCGTGGACAACGGCAGCGCCGTTGGCGCTCTCACCAAACGTGACTTCGGCCACGATGTTGCTCTCCCACACGACGCGGCCGCAGTTTTGGCAGGCTCCGTCACGGACGTCCGACTTGTCGCACTGGGGGTTCTTGCATACCGAGCGGGCCGATGCTACGGTGGGGGCGTTGGTTGATGGGGACGACGCTACAGACTTTTCCCGGACGCGTTGCTCGTGATCCATGATACGCCGGATGGCGTTCGGTTTTCGTTTGGATTTGGCCTTGCCGGAGCCCCCACCGGCCCTAATCATAGGCGCGGACGACATTGTAGGGTGCTAGCCTTCTGGATTCTGGATAGACGGGCAAGGTGCGATTGGCATCCGTCATGGGAGTTGTGACGAAGTAAGTGAAGCGGGCAGTGACAAGCAGCCTATGACAACGAGGCCTGTTGTCCCCCACCGGTGTTTTCGACGGTGCTCTGCTAGGCACTCGGTCGGGGCTGCTATCGATTTATTCGCAATCCCCCCCCAATGAATGCTTCCCAGAAAGGAATCCCCTTGAAGGAAAAAAGGGTGTTATGTCATTGGTGAGAATGGGCCAAGGATTGGGATACTGGCGACGGGGATGATTCTCGAGACTGGGCGCAATTGTTGAAAGAAGAACGCGCGAGTAGCCAAGCGGGGTGTGTCGGAGCAGCGAAAAATCCTCACAGCCGATGAGTCAGCATAACAAGGGTCAAAGGGTACAGGTTCGACTCGATTGTCGTGCCCGATCTTTTATGAAATCCGCAATTACCCCACGTGCCAACCCCACACCACGAAACCCCGCGCTTCACATTGCCAAGCAAGCATCGCTCCTTTTGCTGGTCTTCGAATTCCTTCTTTCCAAACTGGAAGGAATTCAGTTCGACGGGAAATGGCCGGCAAAAGCGCGGCAGAGGGCGGGTTTGCGGCCCGCATGCGGATATCAATGGCACCTCATAAGAAAGACCCCTCTTCCAGGCTGCTCAGGAAGTGCACTCCGCTCCAACGTGAGAGCAACTCCTGGCGGAGTTGCCGTAAATGGCCGTAGGATCGTGGTAAGGGAATGGAAACGGTCGGATACCACTTAGCTTTTGCCTAGACTGTCCAACACCTCACGATGGAATATGAGGGGTGCCTCTCAATATAAAAAGTGCCGCCCCTCACTCATTCTTCGGCCATCTTTCTCGTATCCCTTAAGCCTTCCAACGAAAGACCTCAACCGCCCGTCCTTGAACATCAACTCCAACATGGCTCCCACAGACACATTCACCATCACTGCCAACCCGGACACCGACATTTGGCGCAAGCCTCCCACAACCGATGTCTTCAACGGTAACACCTCCCAAACCTCAATTTCCCAGCCCTGCGCCCTCCCCATCCACAGCCACGCACCCCCTTCACCCCTTTCAACACCTAGCCCACCCGACCACCCCAACCTCACACACCCAAACCCCTCGGTACTAACCCTCCCCCCTCCCTCCCAGCACCCACCGCCCTGCCCCCCTCAACGACCCCCCACCCGCAACGCACCTCCGGCCCGCTAAACGCCTTCCTCTCGGCGCGCCTCTCGCTCAACTTCACCCCGCAAGAGCAATACGACCAAGGCGGCATCCTGCTGAGTCTCCGCCGCCGCACCGACACCCCCACCACCACCACTAACACGACCACCACCCCGCCACCCAAATGGATCAAAGCCGGCATCGAGCTGTACAACGGCGCGCCGCGCGTGTCGACCGTCGCCTGCGATCGCTGGGCGGACTGGTCCGTGGCCGATCTGCGCGCGCCCGGCTCTGCCCCTGCCCCTGCCCCTGCCTCGGGTAGTAAGGGGGAGACGGGGTGGACGACGGTGGTTGTGGAGAAGGACAAGGACGGGAACGGGACCGGGGTGTGGGTGTACTGGGTGGCGGAGGGCAGCGAGGAGAAGGTGCCGCTGCGGGAGATCTGCTGGGTGTTTGGGGATGAGCCCGACACGTGGGAGGTTGAAGTGCATGCGATGGCGGCGCGGCCGAATAAGGAGGCGCAGGGGGCGCTGACGGTGGAGTTTGCTGGGTTGGAGGTCAAGTGGGCTTCTTAGGTGCGGACAGGAGGTGATTAGGTGTGGATGGGAGGGGGGGTTTTGTTCACATGTCACGTAGGGAAAGATGAACTTTTCTTTTGAGGTGGCCGAATGTGTTTTCTTTTTTTTTTTTTTTTCGTCCCATTACCTAGCCCCTCAAGCGGGTGGCGTAGAGCCTTGCGGAAACAGGCGGGAGGCTATCTAGCATGCTGCACACCCTCTAGGGGCGTGCAGAAAGATATCCATCTCATACCCGTCCCGATGATATAAAAGCCCGAATTCGGTTCGTCAAGAAGTCAAAATCGTCATCATCATCAGTTGTTACAAACGAGTGACCGCCCTGCTCTGCGCGGCGAAATATTGCAGGCAACCATGCAGTCCTTTTTTTTTTGGCCGGGGGTGTTGCAAGCCCCCTTTTGTTTCCCTCTCAACCATGATCATCCGAACTGTCTTGTGTTTTTTCGACAAAAAAAAGGGGGTGCGGCCGAGCGCGTCTGAGTGGTGTCGATGCGTGGCAGCGAGGATGGTAGTCCCCGCTGCTATCTTGTTCAGTCTGAGTGGTGTGTGTGGTTCCGACTCCAGCCTTGTATGTTTCCAAAAACGCCAGGGAAAGACAGAAAAGCTGACAAGTCATCGCCCGTCCCCGTCCCAAAGAAGCCCAGCTAAAATAAGCAGACAGAGCAAGAAAAAGAACACAATTCATGGTTGTTGGAGGGAAATATGTCGAAGTGCGAAGTGCGGCGGGTTAACACGACGTGTGGTGTTTTGTCGGCTATTAGACGTCGAATTTGGCGAGAAACCCATATCCTCCTGGTGTGCGACCTCCTTTCCCCTCGTGTCTTGTTATTTGGCGGCCCATTCCATGAGCGACGATGCCAATCAATCTGATGTAATTCAGAATACCAAAACGCCAGGGTTCCGTGAAATCCCAACCAGCCCAGTGTCCCCAGAAAACAGAAAACCAAGAACTGAGACACCAGAGGGGCAGCGAGCTGCGCGTGTCTTCTTTGCACATACCCACATCGTGTATCGGCATTAAGCCCCTCTCGCTCCGCAGATCTTTAAGCCAAAATTGGTCGGCCAACCTCATGAGAAGTGAAGATGTTTCAAGGGGGTGAAAGATCTTCCAAATGGTGTTCCAATCTGACGGAAGATGCGAGGAGTTTCAATGAGAAAAGACCCAAACGCCAGATGTTGAGAAGCAAACAATGGCACAACCCCTGATGAGCCTGTTCCCTGTCCAGTAAAAGTTCCCCATTTACACCTGAAGAAAAACACTTGAAACCTGTTCGTTACGCGTTATGTGCAAGGAGCCCAGCCTCTCAGATGGTCTTCGGCGTCCGCACGTTGCTCGCGTCGATGACGTCGTCGAGGTGGTTGCACATGGCAACGAACAGGTCGAAGAAGAGCTTCCCGCTGCCTTCGCCGTACACGTCGCTGCCGGACTTCTCCATCTCGGCCTGCATGGTGCCGCTACGCTTGAAGGTCTTGCGGCACCGGATGATGAGCGCCAGGTAATGAGCGCGCAGGCGGCTATCCGAGTCGGGGGTGTTGGCGTAGCAGTATTGCGCGCTGCGGAGGATTGTGCCGACGTCGATGCCCGACTGCAATCCTTGCTTCCGCAGCGCCAGCTTCTTGAGCTCCTCCAGCCCATAGCGCTCCGCGGCACAGTAGATTACCGTGTCGCGGAGCAGGTGCTGGCCGACACTCGAGAGGTACACGGTCGCCTCGACAGCCGAAGGGGTCTGGGGTGTTTGCCCTGCGCGACCACCTCCGATTTTTGGTGATTCGTGAATCGTCGGGGAGGTTTGCGGTGTGGCCCGACGGGGGAGCGAATCCTCGAGTTCCCAAGAGTTGCGCTGCTTGTTGTGTTGCAGACGCGGGTAGTAGTCGCCTTTGTAGAGGTACTCGAGAATTGCGCTAAAGACCTCCGGCTCCTCGTCCGGGAGCGAGATTTTCCTATTCTGCGCATCGACGTAGTTGCTGCGCAGGACCTTGTCGAAAAAAGGTGCCTGGCGCAGCACGTCTTCGTGCGCTGCAAACAGCCGCACCTCCCTGCCCACCACGAGGGTGACGATGGGCGAGGGGGCAAGGGACTTGTCGGCTGGCCTCGCCTGCTCTGACTGCATGCGCGAGGTGTCCTCGCCTTTAAGCGACCGTTTTAGTTTCGATACTTTCTGGGCATCCCGTGTGGCACCCTTCCTCGTCAGTCTCGCAGACTTGTCCACCCGGTGTTGCGAATCCATCGCCGTCGAGGCAGCCTCCCGTTGGGAGGTGCTGGCGTCGCGGTTTCGAAACGAGCGCTTGAACATGGTGGCGGTCTGCAGTTCGTGGGGGGTATTTATATCGAGAGATGACGAGGTTATTTCGTACAGGTGCTGAGAGAAGGCAGGATGATGGGGATAACAGCGGAAGGAGAGAGTGTCGCCGCTATTCCCAGGGTGATAAGAGAGTGACGAAAAGAAGGAAGGAATGGAGGAAAAAAGAGGGAAAAGAGTGATGCACAAAAAGGATTGACGGGTCCGGGCGGTGTTATCCCAACGAGAAACTCATGAGACAACCCCAGCAACAGCTTTGCGACCCTTTGGTTGTGTGATGGGGGGGGGGGGGGGGGAGAAAAGAAAGGAAAAGACAAAGGAGTGGGGGGGGGTCGTTGATCTATTTAACCCAGCATATCGGCGGTGGTGGGGGCAGCACAAGGGTGTGTTGTGCCTGGGAAACGCCCCAGATTGACGAGAAACAAGCAGGGCTTGGGAGACGGGTTGTCTTGAACCCTGGCGCCTGTTCATTGGACCACCCAGCTTGCGAGTGCTTCCAACCAGGGAAAGAGTTGACGTTGCTTCAAGTGCGATTGCTGGCGTCAGCGCCTCGTTTGCTTGGCCATTCACTTGACGGTGAACAGGCGTGCAAGCCAACCGCCGGGTACCTCTCGCCCTGTGGAAAGCCACGAAAGCTTCGAGAACGAAGCCAGGGTCCCATGTCAAGTCCTCCTGCTTCGGTGGAATCGAAGGTCAAAAAGTTGGGCGAGCCTCGAATCAAAGTTCCGATGAGGCCAGCCAGCATTTGGGCCGCATTTTGGTTCTTGAAAAGGGGATTGGTCAACACTGTTGCCAACGCAACGAATTAAGGTTGACATTGTCGTCCAGGTTTCGGTTGGGCGGCGCTTCGAAGCAGTCTTTTGCAGCAGTATTCTGCCCTGAGCGGGGGCACGTGAACAATGATCGCCCATTGACAACCGAGCAGACGGCCTTGTTGCAGAGCACAGCCCCATTTGACTCTCGACCATTGGATACAAAATTATGCGGACAGAGGGCGAACAACATTCGCCCTCGTCAATCGTAAATTGTTCCGTCATCAGTCAGGCTCCGAAAGAAACATGCATGGAGGTGATAAAGTTGTCGGAGGGGTGGGGTACCGAGGAGGGGATGTACGCGGGTACGAAGTACACACAGCGGGTCCCCGACAAGGGGTCACTGGGCCCACTATTTGGCGCCCTGGAAGCGAAGGAGGCAGGGCATCTCAAGGGCGGTCAGTTAGAGCAGATGGACTTTCAACCTTGATTGAATTCCGCCGACGATCAACCCCCCAGCCGTAGCTCGAGGGGCTCGACTTTGAGGACGACTTCTACAAGCCAACTTTGTTCATCGTACCCACCCTACAAATTCAGATCAAAAAAACTACCCTATGGCCCACTAACTCCGCGAGAAAAAGCCAAATAGTTTCTTAATTGAACCTTCCCCTCCTGCTGCCAGCATCATGGTTTCGACTTCCGTCCAGTTTCCCATTATCCAATTCTCGTCGGGACCCGACCCAGCAGCTCCACGCATCTCTGCCTTTTTTCGTACCGTTTCGAGAACGCTGAGACCCTCTGTCGTCTTCTCCCTTGGGTTGGCCCCGTGTTCGAGCAGGAAAGCAATGGTTGATAACCTCTGCTCTGCGTCGATGGTAACCCGTCTTTCGTTCACATAGCCAAGCGAATCAAACACAGCGTTCTCGAGCAAAGAGATGCGTTTCTTTGGTGTTTTCCTCGAGATCAATTTTGGGTCCCACGCCAGCTTCTCCCGCAGGTACGGCAGAATGTGGAACCGTGCCGCCAACCCGAGAAAGGTGTTCGTACACGCCTCGCTGCGAGACGACCAGTGCTCCCCTCTGATCAACCCGGTCCACATGTTGGCGACATTTTCGTCAAACTTGTCCAGAGTTCGCGTGAGTAGGATGCGGTTTTCGCCCGTATCAACAACTTGAGACGCGTACCATAGGCATCTTCTTACGGGGTCCGAGTCACCACCATTCCGTATCTCCTCCCAAGTAGCTAGCGGCACTTTGAGAGCCTCGGCTTTGGCAAGGGATAAGTTTGGGTCAAAGCGATGGCAGATGCTGCGCGAAATGCGCTCCCAAACCTCCGGCTTGGACGCCCAGTCACTTGCGGACCGATGGAGGAAATCGACGGTACCAGAGGAGCTGCTAATCTCAAGGATACCTCGAGTCCGACTATCTAGTCGGCGCCTCATGATGTCAATGACCCCTGGGTTCCCTTTTTGACTGAGCGGCGTGGATAAGATGTTAAAGCTCAGGGGCAACTTTCCGTCGGCGATCCAAAGCGTCAAACAGTCTAGTGGACGCTGCGATGCTTCGAAAATAGCAAGCATCTCGGCCGACTTCGTGACGTTGGTCGGGCTAATACTGGCCCAAATGGCATCGTAAAGATCGGACAGACGACTCGGTAGGCCATCAATGATAACTTGAAGCTCGGCCAGTCCGTCTCCTTCGCTTAGCGCAACAAGGAGTGACTTGACCACCAGGCCAACCCAGAGAATGACGCCGTTTGATTTTCTTGCCACTTCGTCGATCAAGTGCGCCGCCTCTGTGGGAAACAGGTTTTGGAGCTCGGAAAATCCAATATTTTCTTCTAGCTTGGTCTTCACAATGTGCGTAATGTCCACCATGTTGAGGTCCTGCATCAGGAGCATAGGATTGCCCCTGAAAGCATCATTGAATTCCATCCATGGACGGCCAGCGACGCAAATCTTGATTCCATCGCGGGCGTTGATGTGTTGGATAAGTTCAATCACATCAACTGGAAGTAAATCGAATTCGTCAAGTCCGTCGATAAAAACTGCGAGCCTAAAAGACTTGTCACATTCGGAAAGGAGAGCGTCAAACGACTCTTGTACTTCCCACGTGCTCCACGGCGGTGCCTCGACGGCGGCCCGAAGAGTAGAGAACAACGCCCAGCGCCTTGGCGCTACGCAAGGTATAAGAGAGTTTTCCTCACTCAATACCTGGTGGAGAATGGTTCTCATCAAGCCTTCGCGCGACTTTTGTAAATGTGCGCCGGAAATCCAGGCATAGTACCGTGCGATGATAAGGGGGAGGCCTCGTGCCCACACATGGAGATGTTTGAGGAGGGATTGATGGTGAATAATATAGCTCATCAGCGTAGACTTGCCAGAACCAGGCTTTCCGGTAATCCAGTACGGTTTCTTGACTTCAGTTTCGAGCCACTCAGAGAAGCTGGGCAGGTTGGCGCCGCCCTTGAAGATCCATGTAAAAGTCCTTTGAAATGCTTCTGGAATGGCCTCTTGGCGAAATTCCATTGTTTCAAACGCAAGACTATTGAGTATGGTAAATGTGAAGAGCCTCCGCATGGCCTCCGGTTCTGCAAAAAAAACCCGGCTTGAGTTGCTGCTGATCCACTCGGGCGGCGTAGGGAGTTGCTTGCGGCTCCATAAGCATCCAACCAGTTCGTTGTAGATTTCGAGAGACTCCGGCAATGTCTTGTCGTTTAGTGTGTCAACCACTCTGTTGAATATGGCGGTTGTAACAATCTCAGGTTGAACGGCGGTCGCTAACGGTTGCGGGTCCCCTGGGAGAACATCATCGGCTTCTATACTTTCCGGGTCAGTCGGCAGCAGAAGGGTGGTCATTTCGTCGAGTTGCCGGCTGAACTGGATCTGTCGTTCTTCACTCTGTCTCGTGCCATCCCTAACCACAAAAGTCAGCGAGTCGAAGTTCGCCAAGAGCCAGACTAAACGCGTACCAGATGGCAAATATTACGGCTGTCGTCACTCGCCTTTCCATATCCCTCAGCTTGGCAATGGTTTCTTCAATCTCAGCTTGGTTCCAGATTGCTTCTAAAGCGGAACGGAGCGTTTTTAGTACACTCTTCTCCTTTACTCTCTTGCCCTCGTCATACATGAAGACTGAGTCTCCGTCTTTTCCCAGCGCTGCCAGAGCGTCGTTCAGCGGTGCAATCAAGTCCTTGCATTCTGTGCTCAGACTAACGAGTTGATGGTACGCCAAGGAAGTGGGAGTAATACTGGCAGTGGCTTGCTCGACATGAGCGAGAATATGTGCGAGATCGTTGGTTATGGTGGACAGTGTTACCTGTCTCGCAGTTCGTCCAGACGGGGACCGATAAATTTGACGCGACGTTGAGAGAAGCCGCGAGCCGAAATCTAGGAACTGGAGTGCAGCGGCTGCTACACCAACCGCGCTAACAGGCTCCATGCTTGTTACAGTGGGTGGTCAAAAGTCTGGTACATAACGAAGTGTTGAGTCTTGGGATGTCGAGTTGCGCTGCGTGATGGACCCGGAGGTGCGGGGTTCTTTGGCGCTGGTCCCAAGGGCCAAGGCAACCCAACCACACAGCCATCAATGGCTCCGGCTGTGTGCTGCAACTCTAGCCAATGACCGGAGACTGCCCATCATTGCATTGGGAGTGTGGCGCTGATTAAAATGCAAGTTTGTCATGCTTGGTCCCCTTTCCGACTATGGAAAATCAACCACCACGCCGGCCCATCAACGTTGGTCATCGTTGTCGCTGGTACCGCAATGGTAATCCATGAAGCTCCAGGGCTAGCGGTCCATGCTGTTCATCTTGGGTAATCAACTTAGAACAGGCGAAACCATGCCTTATAAAGCTGCCGAGATGCCAAAGCAGTTAGAGAAAGCGGACAATGGCCGAGAAATGAAAAAGGGCGCTCCACGATGCCTGATTGGCGGCAGCGTTTTCTGCCAGCTTACTGCGGATCAGGAGAGGGAGAGCTGCGAGATAGAAGATGATGGCACCACGGCGAAAACCACCACTCGCTAACCCGTCCAAGATGGCCATATGACAGGGGAAGCAAGTCGAGGGTACATGTAAGGAAGTCTTCAAAGTCGAGGACAAAAGAGACCCGGAGTCTTGGGTGATGAAGCTACGAGAGCCAGGAACTGAGAAAGCTCGCACTTCCAGTTGGTGCTGCTACCAAACGGACTCGCGGTAGGGGGCATCTGTGCTCAGGGTCTGAGATTCTTCGGAATCACTCGGCATTGATTGGAAGTTGCACTTTCCGGAATCCTAGTGTAACAAGCGTAGAAGTGTCTTGGTGTGGAGGTGGTTCCCCTGTGTAAGTTGTTGTTGTCTTGGCTCGGTTTTCTGCATGGGCAGCATGGGTCGCATCTTAGGAGCGAGGTTGGCTGGGTCCGACGCCCCACATTGACCTAAACACGTCCCAATCACCACTCGTCAATTCAACACCGTGGCCCATTGAGCGCAGCGCAGCACAACACCTTCATCTTCGGTCAAGAGCTCTTGGGAGCCGCAACAGCTTCGCACAGTAACCTCACGCGGAGTCTCCGACGGCAACCACCCCACACTCTCAAGATGCTATCCAGCCTTCAAAATCCGCGGCAAGCCGCCGCGCAGCTCATGAACTTTGGGCTAATTCTCTCGACGGCCTTCATGGTGTGTCCCTGCCCTTGTTTCCAGCGTCGCGCATCGCGAGCGCCGGTCCTTCCTCCTCGATAGATGCTGACTCTATGGGGTAGATGTGGAAAGGTCTCTCGGTCATCACGGACTCGCCTTCTCCGATCGTCGTCGTACTCTCCGGGAGCATGGAACCCGCATTCCAGCGCGGCGACTTGCTCCTCCTCTGGAACCGCAACCTCATATCCGAAACCAATGTCGGCGAAATTGTCGTTTATAATGTGAAGGGGAAAGACATTCCGATTGTCCATCGGATAGTTCGGAAGTTTGGCGTTGGGTTAGTTTTGTTGCGGGAGGTTTGCTATGCTAGTCGACCACAGGCTAACACTACCCTCTAGGCCAGACGCAAAGCTTCTCACCAAGGGAGACAACAACGCGGCGGACGACACCGAGCTCTATGCGCGCGGCCAAGATTATCTCAACAGGAAAGATATCGTCGGGTAAGGCGAAACGCTCCCCAATCCACAGCGGCCTACCGAAGCTGACACTAAAAAACAGGAGCGTTGTCGGGTACATGCCATTCGTGGGGTATGTGACTATCATGCTGTCGGAGCATCCGTGGTTGAAGACGGTCATGCTAGGTATCATGGGGTTAGTCGTCGTTTTGCAGCGCGAGTAGTACTATCGACAGTCTACCAACCACATCTGTCCGAGCTCACTGCTTCCACCACGCACGAGAAGATGTCAGGGGCGCGTCATTCCATGATCCCAAGGGCACCCTTTGTCGCCAACCCCCACCATGCATTTTTCCAACAAGATGCCGGTTGATTCGCGCCAGGGGTTGACATTTATTTGCCCGTGACTGGTCTCTGCAAGGAACTTGTGTGTGGGACGGTTGCCTTGTCGTCCAAGTCACTTTCGCCGAACAGTTCCCTTTCATTCTCGTCGAAAGGCCACTTCTATCCTTCAGAAATGGGCCTCCTGACATTGGTCTTTGATTCCTCATCTTCTGATTTAGCACGACGAGTCTCACACTCCGGCAGTTAGCGCATCGTATGGTCGTGTTTAATGAACACCAAGTAACAGGGGTTCGTGATGTCTTGGCAAGCGGCCTTCCCGCTTTCGCTTTTCCCCGTCCAATGCCAAGACCGGCTAAGGAGGCAGCACTGGCCTTGGGGTCTATTTTTGAGGGCAAGGACCGAGACCAATCTTAAAAACAACACCATCGCCGCCATCCACTGTTTGTCGCGTTTCTCCATCACTTTCGCTCTTTTGACGTTGTCACTCGTTTGAACTTTGCTTTCCCAATTACACTCGTTTTCCAGCATTTTCCCCGAAATTTGGAGGACCTTGCGTTTTGCATATGATCTAAGCCTACGTACCATCGACTTTTTCTGGACATTGAAGTGAGAACAGGACGAAAATGGCGGCCGACGACAGCTCGGCCACCGAACCGAAGGCAGGAGAGTCGGGCCGGGTTCTGGAGAATGCTCAAACTGGGAATGAGGGGAATGAACGGCAGTCCGAACGTGGAGCCCAGCAACAAACCGAAACGCAGCCATCGCCGCCGTTACCACCGCGGCCTTTGCCCGTCGCACACCAGGAGCTATCGAAACAGCAGCCAGTTCTTCCTCCACTGCACGGCACTCATTTTGCCCATCTACCAGTTGAACAGCCCTCCGACGGTGTCGGACCTGAGCGCCCATTCTATCCCCGCTGGCACAAGGCAAAACTGGCATTGCTTCTTCTCTCCCTGTTGGTCTCCGCGGTAATATTTGGCGTCGGCATAGCCCTCGGCGTCCACAACGCGCCATACTATCGGCCCGGCTATGACACAGCCCCAGTGGACTATGAGTTGGGAATCTCTGGAACAGCGGTATGTTGGAACTGTCTTTTCTGTTGGCCGCATGCGAGGCTAATCCACCACATAGGCCGGCCTTGCCGTTGTGGTTACCGTCATCGAGTTCCTGAAGACCATGTTTTCCAGCCGGCGGCAGGGTATGCATCCGGGCGCACTGGTCGCTTTCCACCTCATCATCTGGCTGATGGCCGTCGTGGCCGTCGTCATGACCGCTTTGTTCGGGGCGTATTCCTACTCCGATGACTGGTACGGCTACCCGCGCGCCGACGAGTTGGTTCTGTTCAGCCAGACCCAGGTTTACGAGCAAGTCCTGCTGGGGTTCGATTGCGCCCTCCTGCTTATCCACTTCATTCTGTTCATTGGCGCTTGCGTTGAGACGAACCGGGTTGAGAGGGCGAATAAGAAGGTGGTCGTCGTGAGGGTGCCGGTCCCTGTCGGTGCCCAATACCCGGGACCAGGGGGTCAATATGCCGTCTACGGGCCCCCAAGTGCGTACCCAGCGCCGTTCCCGCCCGCGCAGATGGCCCAAGTACCGGCAGCGGCGGGTGGTCAAACCGGGCCCTGCTGTTCCTCAGCCGGCAGCCTCGTATGCCGGATACTATGCGCCTACGCCCGACAACGCGCCGTCGCAGCGTCGCAGCAACCAAGCACCGGCTCAAGGATACTATGCACCAGCCCCAGTCACCGCCCCCGCAACAGTCCCTCGGGAACAGCCCCGGGTCTAGGCGCCTCCAGTATCAGGGCCAAGCTCCAGTTAAGCGGGAGTCTTTGCCTCTTAATTTTGGGGCGGCGGATTCGATTCGACACGTAGCCGGGATATAAATTTCGAGACGGCGTTTACGGGGCGACGGGCATAATGGCGTTGTTATAGACCTGAGGGAGATGTCGCGTCTTATGTAAATTTTAATGTAATTACGGCAGCATTGAAGTGGCGGGCAATTTTGGGTCCTTTTTCGACTACGATGTCGTCCATGTCCATGTCCAACACCACAGATGCCGACCGGACCCCTGAACCAGCCTGGGACTGCCGATCAACGTGATAGTTGAGCAGTCAAAAGCCAGTGTATGTAACCCTGCGAAGACTTGGTTGTGAGTCCGGTCGGTCAACTGTTAAACTAAAAACCAATCGCTGATTGCACGAACAGGACCCGCGAAGTTCTGACCAGGGCTCTTTCACATGCGTCACTTCATTTCCTTGTAAACCGCCGAGGGATAGACAGGGTTGCATTTCCCCAGGTCTTGACATGGGATCTTCCCCAGCTCAGACCTCTGATCCCGCGAATCAAGCAACGGTGCCTGCCAGCCCGCTCATCCACACTGGCCGATCCCTTGGCTAGGTCCACTCACCTCAACACCATCTTCAAGGTCGGCTCGTCGGGTACATCTAGCCATGGCTACTCCATCCCACCATCCTAAGTATACCTTCCCCATCGGGAAACAATGACAGTAGATCCCATTACCCGCATGAATCCGACCAGGAAGAGCTCGCAACGCGTAGTGAGTTTCTCCCGGGCGGCATGGAGCTTACACTTGGATCTGGTTGCTGGGAGGTTGTATTCTACGCGCGCGGGAAGAGCGGGGAGGAGGGGGATATTACAACGTGCTGGGCTCCTGCCTTTGCCTACCTCGGCCACGGGAGGCTTGAGTGTCAGCATGTACAATGCTTGTGAAAGACCGGAGCCGGGCAAATCTTCTATAAGAGAGGTCGATGATCACTCCCTCTCAGTCTCAGGGGGCTCCATCAGGGAACACTCTCCATACTCTCAACCCGAGCCGAGCAAGTCCCCCGACCAGTCGACCACGACCCCCCCAAACTCACCCAAAAGAGAAAACAAAAAACAACACACCATGAAACTCAGCACCCTCCTCCCCGTTCTCCCCCTCCTCCTCTCCCCCACCCTCGCCACCACCACCGACCAACCCACCATCGTCTCCGCCCTCACCACCGTCAACGAAACCACCACCAAGCTCGGCACCTCCGTCCTTACCTGGCACGGCGGCATCCTCGGCACGGTGCCTATCCTCGCCGAGAGCACCGCGCTCCTCATCCAAGTCAAGCAAGGCACGGACGCGGCGTCCGCCAGCGACCCGCTGGACGTGCCGGGGACGCTGGCGGTGGCGACGGCGACGGGGGCGCTGGTCAAGTCGGTCAACGCGACGCTGGGGGCGATTGTGGATGCGAAGGGCAAGTTTGATCGTTTGTTGTTGTCGCCGCTGATTGCGGTAAATTTGGGCCTGCAGCGCCGCGCGACGGCCGAGATGAGTGAGGCGGTGATTGGGAAGGTGCCGGAGCAGTTGAGGGAGTTGGCGAGGGGGTTGGTGGCGCCGATTGATCAGAGTTTTGGGGTGGCGGTGGAGGCTTATCGGTTGTTGTGATGTAGTGGATGTTGGTTGCTTGTTTGATGGTGTTGGGAGTGAGGTACTTCATCTCAACTCACAGTCGATGAATCTAAGCAGAGCGAATATGTACCCAAACCATGTCATCTCTTTGGCACTTCGTATCTCTCACCATTGATGTCGAACCCACTCTCTCCCTCGCTGACACAAGCCGCCCATGATCATCTTCAGGGGGTCAGATACACGCCAGGGGTCGGACATACGCCAGGGCTCCCATTTACTTGTCTTCAACACTCTGCTGCGTCTAAAGCGGTAGTAAGTTCTTAGCTCTCACTGTCTGCTGTTTCCATTTTCTCCCTCAACATGTTTTTCGTCGAGAAAAATTGAAGCTGAAGGACACAATCACACTGCATCCCGAATGATATGCATCAGAGTGCCTGCTCATTGCCAAGTTCTATGCTGTCTATAAAGGAAATCCTTTGCCCCCAACCACATCCCTCCCCCACGTTCAAAAAGGAATGGTACTGAACCCCGGCGCGCTCGGAGACAGTTTTAGAAAAAGAAACACCTGTCAACCCCCATCATAGCGGCTATCAACCCTCTCAACTCAACCGCTGGCCCAAACTAACCGCTCTACGAGCAACGGTAGGAGTTGTACTTGCCCTTCTCCATGCAGCGGCCATCGGTGGAGAGCGGGTCCTCGATGCCGTTGCAGTCCTTGCCAGTGAAGACTGAAAGCACCAACACGGTCAGCTTCTGCATCTTCGGTTCGCCCGTTGGCGAGAAATGACGGATAGACGGGCCATCACTTACCTCTGGGGTTCAGCATGCCGCCGGTGTTCCAGAAAAAGGCGGCGGTGGCGTCGTCGAGGTTGTAGCACCGGCCCGAGACGGGGGCGGCGTGGAAGAGAATGTTCTTGTCGTTTTGGCTGCGTTGTAGATGATCTTGTCAGCAGGTGTGTCCCCTGAAAGTAAGTGCAGCGAGGAGATGCCGGAAGTAGGTCTTACCAGTCATCCAGACTGCTGTACTGGTTCAGCTTGGGCTTGTCAGCCAGCGACAGGGGCACGAGCGCGGCGGCAACGACGAGGAGGATTTGGGACTTCATCTTGAATGTGTTGTTTGGTTGTTTATGGTGTTGATTTGATGTTGAAGGCTGATGATGAGCTGTTGTGATGGTGGAATGCGATGTTGACCTGTTGAGATAGACCGGGCAGAGGGGAGGAAGAGGCTTCTTTTATACCGCGGCGTCTCATAAGTCGAGCGCAACGCTTTCCAACCCCTATCATCGATTAGAGGGGCTCATCATCGCGGCATCTCGCATTTCCCTCTGCAACACCGTCTTACACGACTACTTAGGGCTACGGGTTTGCAGCCCCATGGCCATTTAGTCAGACTCTCCGGGATGAAGTGATACTCTCCACAATGACAGCTCGGTTAGCTTGCACGGTGAGCATCGTAGGCGTATGCATGATGGAGGAGGAGGAGGTAGTGGTCTCGCTCGGTATTACTGTCGGGTTGTCTACTGGTGTGCCTACATAGCAGCCTAGTTCATAAGCAACATATGCGGTCTGGCCGCCGGGATCGGACCCGAGGCCGCCGGACTTTCGAAATGCGGGCGGCGTTGAGGCGAGGATTGCAAAATAGGGTTAGTCTTAACCTTGCGGCGTCTTTAGCAAATTCCCGCCAGTGATGACACTCACCCCTCCGCCGCGAAACATGGCGCATTGGTGAGTTTTGCTACTCGCTTAACTCACCAACCCTCCGACGGCGACTTGGCCGGTTCTAGGAGTCCGAGTCATCCATTCGTGTTTTGTTTTGGAGCGCGCCTAAATCACGGCGGGCGATGCTTGGATGGTCGAAGCCAACTGCCCGCCGTTGGTGGCTGGTTCGGCCAACATCTTCACGATCGAGTAGACGGTGCTTCGATCGGGATACCTCCAACTCTCCGTCGCCATGTTTCAACCTGGGCCGAGTCAGAAGCTCGGACTTAGGCCTGAGCCCCTCGCCAATCGGCATCTGGGTGGTGCTTAGTTCAACGGACATCAACAAGCCCAAATCTCCAACCAGTGAAGGCATGGCTGGTGACCATTCGAGAGCGAATAAAGGGTCGAGCTCGCGATGCGCGATGCACGATGCGCGATGCTCGAAGTGGGCTGTTGGGCACCAGAAACATGACATTTTGGGTCGGCATGAGAGGGGAAGAAAGGTGGGGGTAGAGCCCTTTGGGCCAAATGATAAAGAGGCATTAGGGGCAACCTTTGGGATTGCAGTGCGATTTTTTCAAGGCATTGGATCCTCTGAAATTTACATGCAGCCTTTTGGCAACATGTGAGCATTTGTCAAATCGTCAAACCCGGGATCCATGACGACGACCTCGGACGCCCGGACGGGACCTCCGTCCGGACCCGGCGATACGTGTGGCCGGCGACTCGGGCCAAGACGCACGCCGGTGGGGAGAAAAAGCACCTGCTTCATTCACCAGCAACAAAGGGCCATGCAGGGAGACGTTAAATACTTCGAAGGAATGAAGGTGCTCTTTTATTGCTCTGTCCAAACCCCCCAAAAGCGACAAGCTAGCTGCTAACTCAAATCACCCGCAGACAGATTCGCATAAGGTCGTCTCCTCGGCGCATAATCACACGCACCAGAGAACACGCATCGTTTTGGTGTTGAAAAGGGTAGGATAGAATGTCGGCTCAACCAGCGGGCGCAGAGATTCATGGGCGGAGGGGTTGGAGTTAGGGGTTGGGGGAGGGGGAGGGTGGTAGGCATGGGGGATTTGTCACGGGGGCGGATGGGATGCGGCGCCGCCTAGTCCTCCTCGTCGCTGCCGGCAGCAACGGCTTTTGCATCAGCCTTGGCGGCGACATGAGCCGCGACCTTACCGACGCCCTTTGTAGGCACCTCCTCTTTCCTCGGCATCATCTTCCTCCTCTTCGTCCTCCTCGCCTTCGGCCTCCTCGTCTTCCTCATCTTCTTCATCAAACTCTTCCTCCTCCTCACCCTCGGCCGCCTTAACCCTCTTCCATGGCCGTTCGCAGGCGGTGGCCGTTCTTGTGGGTCGCTTCGACGACCGGGGGGCCGTCCTTTAGCTTTCTTCTTGGGCGGGAGCTTGTTGCTTTGCACAAGTCGTTAGCCAGGCATGCACGATGTACAAGGACGACAATTCTAAAGGGGAAGGGTGTGGGATTGATCGATCCGATGAACTCGGCCGAGTTCTCGAGAGGGGGTGTGGTGAGTGTCAAGGCTTGCCAAAAGAAACTCACCTGGGACGGCATTTTCTTCGTTCTCCTCGTCTCCCTCGGCACCTTCACCTTCCTCGCTGAACTCTTCTTCCTCTTCTTCCTCATCGTCGAGCTCATCTTCATCTTCATCCTCTACATACCTAGGCAATCGTTAGCGATTCCTTCTAGGGCGTGTCATAGAAGTCAAGCGAGATGCTTGCCAGGCGCGCAGAGCACGCCAGCCAAAAAAATCCCGACAGAGCCGGCGGGAACAGGTTGAGCGCACAGCTTGCGCCGCGAGGCGCCAGCAAGCGAGCGGATGCCCAAATGCCGCGGTTATTCTCGCAATCACCCATACAGGAGACACAAAACACAGAGTCGCTGGGTGTGTTTTGGGGAGGCTGGGGGGTTGGCTTACTCTTCCTCCTCCTCATCGCCGCTGGGGAGCGAGACGAGCTCTTCCTCCTCCTCTTGCTTTCTCTTGCGGCCCGTCATTATCGGAATACGGCTCAAATGGCGTCAATTGCCAAGTAGGTCGATGTTTGATGGCGCAGAACGGCAGGGTTAGATGGGAAGATGGGCGGGATAGCGCTGGGATGGGAGGAGGGAGAAGAAGAGGAAGGCTACGAGGAAGGCGCTTTTCCGGGGGGCGTGGACGGGCAAAAGCTGGGAGCTCTGGCGAAGCGGTACGTACCCGGGTACCGCTTCGCCCAAACCGCATTGCGCGCCGCAGAGCTGCTGCGGGGAACGGGGAGCGGGGAGCGACCTGAGCTGAGCACAGATGGCTCGAGCGTGGGAGCTGTTGGTTGCGGCAGGGGCGAGGGGTTACCAAAACCTGGAAACCTGGAAACCTGGCGCCTCAGGCAAAAATCCATTCTGAAGGAAGGTTGGGGGCGCTGTGCGGGCGGCACACTCTCTCGTTCTTTGCGGCCCTCGCGTGCAATCGCACATTTCTGGGAAATGAGTGCCGGCGCCATACTCAGACTTTCCGAATTGCTACCAATCTGAAAAGTCAGTCATGGGGATAGGTTCAGAGCTCTCGTTCGTGGGTTTTTTCTGGCCTGAGGCTCAAATACACTGTGGCCTGAGGCCATAAATTTATTCCCAAGGGCGAAAGCGGGAGCAATGGATGGAAGCTCGGAAGCTCCGATACTCGCCATCATCCATCATCATCTCAATCGCCCGTGACGAACGAATGCCGGTCATTTCTTGTCACCCTTTCGTTAGAGCCTTCCCGGTTCTCTACTCGTGACGCCGTATTGTCGTTGTGCATGCTAAACGAAGAGATGAGACGAGCCGATTTACAAAGTATCTGAGTACTTTACACACTCTTGCCAGTCGGTTCTTCCATCGTACCAGTTTTGAGTTTCTTGCTCCGGGCTTCGAGACTCGCGCTTGTATTACCCCACCTGGTGTTCGCAAGCGGGTAGTCAAACTTGGCGTCGGCCTTCCACGGCTCCAGAGGGAGACCACCCAAGGCGAGCCGATCTATCCATCCCGGGAGCACCAATTCTTTGAGTGCGGTAGCAGCGCTCCAGCTCACCCAATTCCCCACCAATGGGTCGCACCGGTCCTTTAATCTTTGCATCGCCACGCGAAGTTGCCTGGCGGTTTCGTTGGCCGGGAGAAAGGTAGCAAGGTCAAGTTCACGTTTTCCCGGGCATCGTCCCACTCGAGATCCCACCATGCAGACTGGCTGCGATGGAGGGCGCGAACACGCTGCCGCAACTCGTCCTGGAGCACGCAGGCGCGCAGCATGTTCGAGGCCAAGTTGGCCAGCATCCATGTCTGCGGCCTCAGCCCCAGGCGGAGAGAGTGAAGGGTGTGGAGAGCGCGATCGAGCGTTTCCATGCGGCGCACGAGGCTATGGTTGGAGATGTAGCCGGATATGCGCTCAAGCAGCGAAATCCCCCCCGCTCCGCGACGGTCCCTCTGACCCGGTCTCTCACTCCCTCGGCCAGAGCCTGCACGTCCGACAACAAAGCATTGGCATCACACACAGCATCCCAGACTCCCCCTAGGACCTCGGTATCGCCCCGGTCATAGAGGCTCATACTGATAGGATAACGCCGCTCCTTGGACGTATAGTTGCCGCTACATCGACTTTCGACAACGGCGCGCAGCAGATCACGCGCGTTTTGGCCTCAGCATAGTCCTGGGAACCTCGGGTTGAGCTTTGACATGCCAACGCCGAAGTCTAGAGCCGCGTGAATCTTGTTCAGTTGCGAAAAGGCATCCTCTGAGAGTCCAATGCCAGCGAGGAGTTTTGAGAGAGCCTGGTGTCGACCCCTGTCGTGTTCGAGCAGTTGCTGAAAAGTAGGGACTTGCGCCCCAATCGTCAACTGGGGAGGGTTCTCGCTCCTGCTCACGTTCTGAGCAGCGGTTCTTGATTTCGTCGTTCTGGCGACTGCTTTCAGACAGACTACTAAGTTGTCGTGCTGGGCGTGGTACGGCCAGGAGCCAGCCACGTCACGCAAAAGAAGCCATAATCTCCTGGCATGAGTGAGGATCTTGTCCCCATTTCCCTTGCGGAGGCGAACCAAGGGGGCCCTCAACGCTGGGTATTCCGGGTGCTCAGGGCCCAGTCCGGCGGTCAGCAGATCTGTGGCCGCGTGGATGACCACCGGCCACAAAGTATTCGCCATTTCCAGCGTGATGGTGGTGTTCAAAGAATCAACTATGAAGGGTGCGTATTCGGCCGGTAAGCGTTTCCCCTCCTCGCGGCTCATCTGATACTTCGACAAGTTGCGCTCAAAGTAGAGCGTTGTTTCGGGGAGCCGAGAGGTGGCGTTGACCCGAATGAGGCCGGGGGCGTCGAGCGCGAGGGTGACGTTGAGGTTGTGGTGAGGAATGTTGATGGCGGTGGACGCGTTGGCGTAGAGCTCAGAAACCATGGCCAGGTCGTCGGCTGGAGAGGTAGCCGCCCTGATCACCACCTTGTCTGGGCTTAGCCCCGAGATGGGGCTGGGGGCGGGGCCGAGCAAGAAGCTAGCGTAGAGAACGGCGAACAGAATGGATAGGAGGGCAGCAGGAGACATGCCGAAAAAAGCAGCACGCTGCCGGCCGTTGCACGGCCCGGTGGTATCCCGGTTGTTGCCCTGGGTTTCGGCATGCCCTCGAGGTTCTTGGCCGCTGCTGAGCTCGGGTGCAGCGGCGGCATCATCTTGGAGACCACTGCGACGGCGACGGCTACGGCCACGAGGATGACCTGGAGTGGCGGGGTACATGACAGAGCTTGTATTCTGGGTGTTGGGACGAGCCTGCAACGGCGGGTGTTGTCACAGATGTATGAGGCAGAAATCCGTCGAACAGGATGTCCCGGACCTAAAAAGACAGGAGGGGAAACGGTATGATGAATGCAAAAAGGCCAGATCCGTCGAGGTGCTGGAGCGGCCTCGAGAGGGAAATGCGAGGCAGGCCTTACAGAGACAAAGACAGTCATTATCAATCAGCACCATACCCCTAAAGTGGGCAGCGCGACCCAGATCCGGCGACAAACATATCGCAATCGCCACTTTTGGCTGACAGCATGCGGCAGGGCCCTGTCCGTGATACGGTAGAGCGCGGAGAAACACACCCCCGATAACAGCTGCTCAACTAAGTGGAAGTCAATCTATCACATGGAAGTCGATCTATTACATTTCAGGAGATAAAATAAACGAAGCGGCGCTAGCTAACTCTAAGATGACATTTTGGTATTCTACACTCACCTCGCCCTCTCCCGTCTTTGCCCTTGTTCCGCTTCTGCCTCGTCCCCGTTCCGGTTTTGGCTTCCGCGTTCTGGGCCTTGGTCTCTCACTTGTTTTTGCGGATGAAGCCCTGGATCATGACGCGCCATTCCTCAGCTAGCCCCGCCACTTTCTCCGTGGCCTCCAGGAGCTCCTTCTGGCAGATCTTGTCGCGCAAAGAGCTATTGATCTTGCCCAGAGCGTGCTCCGTGGATTCTGCCCATTTTGCCTGCGTCTCCATGGCCTCGGTCAACATATCGAGCCTCACCTTGGCATTCCGGAATGAACCATGCATCATGCTCTCCGCGGCGTGGGCCGAGTGCAGATTCCGGATGAATAATGCGGCCTCGGGGTCGTCAGGGGAGATGGCCTCGTTGCCATTCTCGCAGCTCGCCGAGGATGGGTTGGCAGCCTTGCAATCGAAGTGCGCGTTGAGTCTCATGATGCCTTGTCCAAAGAAATGGACAGGGTTCTCGTTGGTCTCTCCCCCTTGAAGCGAGTGTTTCAGAACGGAAAGGTCAACGGTACTGATGTCTTTCTGGAAGCGAGAGGATTGCTGCTGGAGTTCCTGTAGGAGATCCGACAACGCGCGCACCATGCGCTGGAGCAAATGAAGCTCCGGTCCTAATTTGGACCCGGCACCCTGGAATCATGACCCTTCGTCCTTCACGGTGTTGTTATCCGGGTTGCGGAGCCCCTTGCCGGCACCGTCAATGGAGCCCAAGATGTAGACGAGGCGCCTGTGCGTGGACTGCACCTCCCTGAAGAACTCTTCCATGATGGCGCTGCTTTGTTTGCTGGCCTTTCCTGCAGCACGTTGCCAGTTATTCACGAAAATGCGGTCGACTTTTAGATCTTCGGGGGCGAGGGTGGGAAAGGCGACCCTCACAGCCGGAGCGGCGCCAGTTGCAGATGCAGCAGACTCCAATGCGGCGGCGGCCTCTATTAACAGCAACTCGCCGGCCGTCACAGCCCCCCGTAGGTCCGTCAGGGTCGACGTCCCGGCAGCACCACCGCTCACGGGATTGTTGTGGGCGCGGCTAACAGAAGTCCATAGGATGACGCACAGTACGACCATCCAAGTGGCTGGCCCAAAGGCACCCACCACGGCACTGATGAACGCCCGAAGCATCGTGTCAGTTATGTGTATGGCGTGGCTCGGTGTTGAATCGTTTATCGAATTAATAGTATGAGAGCGAGGGAGGTCGGAGAAGTGTCGCGAAGAAAACATTTCTATACATAAAGGACTCCTAACACAACAAAGAGAGTAACGGAAACACAGGCCGGTCACCACTCACTGTACTTCTTCTACAAGCGGGAGTTTCGTGACAAGACCATATGTTCTAGAACAGCCCGATTACCCGCCATTATTGAGTGCTCCTTGATTGGAGTCGACAGAATCCCGCGGGAAGCGGAGGCAAGTCCATCAAGGGATGGAGCAGAGGCGCGGAGGCTTGAGAAGCGGGGGTCTCTAGTCCCAGCGCGCCCAAAAGAACAAAGAGTCGATGTAATGGGGCTGTCGGGATTTCCATACACGCCTGGGTATGTGCAAGCTTGTCCCTGGTCTGGTATCTGCCGTATATCCGTATCCTCCTCCTACAAAATAAAAGCAGGTACGCAACATAACGCTATGTTGTCCCTCCGTTTCGATCCTCCAACGGCCAATTATTTTAACGTTGGGACCGAAAAACCTTCGCCTGCTCTGTTATGTTCAATTTACCGTTCAGTCTCTGCTCATTCAAGGCGCCTGTATTCGGGAGCCATCCTCAAGCTTCACCAGTTGCCGATGTAGGGGCGTGCCAGACGCGGCCAGCCAACCCGCTGCGTATGGCCGCGGATCCGCGAGTTCAACCAGGGAATGGCCTTTGCTGATGATGGCTGCTCCGATCTAACCAAATCTTCCGGCTGGTTTTGGTCGTGGTCGTTTGGTTGGCGATGGGATTGCGGAGTTCGGTTTGCGGATGCAAGGATGTCGCATCGGTGATGGCGTCTTGGAGAGTCGATCTGCGAATAACTGAACCCGTACGAAGTACTTGAGATGATTAGCAGCCATTTACGAGGCACATCACATCGCCTGCGGTCAAATGTGGCACGGTGACAGCCAAGCACAACCTCAACTCTCTACTGACAGGCGTTGGGGGTGTTGAGTGTTGAGGGTGTTGTGGGTGTCGTTTGTTGTTGACAAGCTGACAAAGCGGGTTATTGGAGGAAGTCTTGGAGACTGAGCTCGCCGACCGGGGCCTGAGCCGCGGAAAAAGGGACGCTTGGCCGGGCTGGGGTGCGACGCTGCAGTGCTGCAACGCTGGCTGCACCGCTGCACTCCTGCACCCGCTTGCCAAGGTTTAGGTGCTGCAAACCGAAATGCTCCATTTCAATTCTGGAAAATTTCATCGAATCTTCCCCAGCAAGGGCTGGGGCAAGGACAAGGGGCAGCTTGGGGTCGCCAGGAGCCGGTTGCCCAAACGAGACTAGTTGAACCTGGGTACCATGGAAGCCATCCGGAAGCTTCGCTCACAAGCTGAAGCTCAGCCAGCAAGCAACCTTTCAATCCGACTAACCAGTGGAGGTGACAGTAACTGAGGTAGCAACTCTGCTGTCAGTCAATCACGTCAGCTGTCGGGTTTCCTGGCTTTTGGCATTTCCGGAGGAGCAGAAAGGTTTCTCCCGCCAATCGCTGTGCGATGCTCTTGTTTTTGCCCCTGAAACTGGCAGATTTCCAGGTCCAAGCTGCGCCTGGGCAGTTCCGGTCGTTTGGGTTGTTGCTTTTGGTCCGCAAATTGTGCTTCCAGCCAATGGTGCGCTGTGTCGTTGTTCACAAGAATTGCTTCAATTCGTTCAAGTCACAGCCGTCCGAGAGAGAAGCAATCGGAGGCAAGTGCAACTGACACAGGCACTCTGAGGGTATTTTTGACGCGCAACCCAACCTGATTCGTTAGTTATCCCATCCGTCGGTTGGGCCTTTGAAATTCCCCTCACTCCCTTAACACTCCCGCCGCCGCAGAAGAACGGCCAGTTAACTACCAGTTATCTACCTGACCGTCCCAGGTCGCTGGACCTAAACATCTCATCCGAGGAGCAATCCCTGCCACTCGATTACCTCTTTTACCCTCCTGAGGGCTGTCCCCGTGCCGCGTGAAGTGTGCTGACACCCAACAAGCGGCAGTTCGCCCGCATCGCTGCATCGGCACAGACACGGTCGCCCGCGTCCCCGTGCGACCAACCAGGAGGCCTGTGTCGGGCGTGCAGCAATTTATCTTGCTGCAAGGGCATCCGATTGCTCCAACATCCGATGCAGATGCCCACTGAGCTTGGACGCTGAGAAAAGAAAAGTCATCCGAGCGGGATACCGACAATGGCGACGCCGAACATTTCGGCAATCATCATTTGAGACGAGCAGTTTCGTCCCGTTTCTCGTCCCGTTTCCCGTCTTGTTTGGTGCTCTATCCCAAATTCCCTTTTCCCTGGTATGCTACCCGAAATCAAGTTCGCGGGCTGCGACTAGGATCCCAGGTCAACCCCGGCACTAATTCCCAACGCTCCATCGCTCCGCTGGGACCTGCATCCGGGCCTGGCTGGACTCATTTGGGCGCAGATCGGACCTCGCGCCGGAGAAAAACAATAATAAAACCAGGCGCCGCCCGATGATATTTCCCACCGGTCCTCCGCCCGTTCCGTTGGTCCGCCTCCTCTCGCAACGGCCCCGGCAATGTTGGACCATCACGACTCGACCGACGACGCTGCTGGCGGCGGAGTGGGCTATCCCGCTGAGCAGTATCAACGGTCAAACCCAAGACGCGGCGGACCGGGGCCATATGCACCACCGCCGCCTAGGTTACAGTCGAGGCCGCAGTGGCCGACCACCGGACCCTGGCCGAAACACGATGACGCTCATGCCGCAAATGCGTTCGAGTATTCTCCTCAGCGCCGACCTTTCCGCTTCCAAAACCCCCCTCCCGGCCCAATGCGTCCTTCAGGTTCGCGCAGGCCGACCCTCGAGCTGAAATCCAACATGCATGTGCCTCCAGACCTCGCCTCCGCCCGCAGCGATTCCTTCTTCTACAACTCTAGGCCGGCCAGACCCTGCCCGAGTCCGACCCCGACCATCTCGCATTTCGAACCCGTCCATAGAACGAGGGCCGAGTCGTCACCCATGCAAAGACCGCCCCGAAGCGCGTTCCCGGGCTTGTCGTCCAATCCATACATCCCAGAGTCGCCCGAGCCAGAGACATCGTCCTCCGAAATGCGAAAGTTTCTGCTGCTGCTCGACAGATGAGCAAATAGCCGTCGTTCCCCAGCCTCGATCTGAGTCGCCGTCGAGAGCCGCAGACGACGTCAATCGACCTAGCCCCGTGGTGGAAAATTTCTCCCGGCCGCGGAAAACCAGTGTCAGATCCCAGCAATCAGACAGTGCCTTGTCGCGGCGCATGGTGGCACATCGGTTCCATGCCGAGCCGTCGCCGTTGGATCAGCCGCCGCCGCCGCCAACCAGCAACCCGCAAGGACCAATTCGTTTCAGTTCGGCCGCAAATCCGTGGCCGAGAACCCGTCGGCTTTCTGGCTCTTCATCCCAGTCCTCCAGCACCTTCTCCTCGATCCCGCCCCGTCCGAGTAACGACGGCCTTAACAGTGCACCGAGAAACGATTATTCAAGACACCCGAATGCAGGTATCATCGCCCCGACACCCGTTTTTCCGAGACCACCGCCGGCCCACCACAACCCCGGCGGCCCCTCTCAGACACATCTCCGCGAGATCCCTCCGTGGCTGGCGGCTGGTGACGAGCTTCGGTCGAGTTTCCGGTCGCAATTTACTTCTTCCACGGCACAAGGGACCCTTTTTACCGCAAATGGGACCGAGCGAAACAGCGTTTTGACGAAAGCGAGCAGCGTCACGGAGCAATCTATCATCAACGGATATGCACGGAGGAGTTGGCGAGCGAATTCTGTGGATGACGGCCCGAGCTTGGAGGACGTGATGGGCATGTACGAAAGAGGCTTCAATGACTCGGACATCGAGAGCCTCCGTCGTAGCATGAGATTTACCGAAGACGACATCCCCGAGACCGATCCAAATTTCGAGGTGCCGGCGATAGGAGGTTCGCGTCCGGCCAGCCGCCACTCCGACGCGAGCGGGTTGCGGGCGAAGATGCTAGAAGCGATGAGCGACAGCCTGCCGACTTCCGAACCACTTCCGATACCCGAATCAGGCTGCTCAACGGCGAGGCAGTCAAGGACCCGACGTTCACTGTTGCCGAGTTCGTTACCGAGCGAGATCGGCCTAGGCCTTATGAGCGAACAGACCCCTAGACGGGACAAGGCGGAGTCGGATACCGTAGAGAAACACGACTCCGCCAAGTTGCTAGATGGCGATGAAGATTCGGTAATCCCTCAGGAAGTGACTACCCAACCGCCCACACCAACTTCGCCAGTTTCGCCAATTTCGCCAGCGCAGAATCAACCCCCAAACGCCGACCTGCCTTCGCCGCACACCAGCACGCCAGCGGCCATCCCTCGCCTCCCACAGGAACCCCCAGAAGAGCCGGGCAGCCGTGATCGGTACGGGTTTCGAAAAGCCAGTGCTAATGTCAGTCGCCAGGAATATGATGCCTGGGACAGCACGTATAGCGAATACCTTGCTCGGAGACGCAAGAAGTGGATTGCATTTCTCAAGGACAACTCTCTGATGACGGACCGGCCAAATCGATTCCCCACACATAGCGCAAAGACGAAGCGCTTTATCCGGAAAGGAATCCCGCCAGATTGGAGGGGCGCGGCCTGGTTCTACTACGCGGGGGGACCTGCTATTCTGAGCAAGCACCGTGGGGTTTATGACCAGCTGGTGCAGCGAGCTGGCTTGAACCCGAGCGGCCCAGGTGTGATCGCTGGTCGACTTGGCGAGGTGAAACCTCTGATTGTCGAGGATATCGAGAAGGACCTTTACCGGACATTTCCTGATAACGTGCGGTTCAAACCGCCGCCACCACCCGCTGGAGAAAGTGCTCCTCAACCGACCACGTCCCCGCCGGCCATTGAGCCCGAGATTATCGGGTCGCTTCGGCGCGTCTTACACGCCTTTGCGCTTTACAACCCGCGCATCGGCTACTGCCAGTCCCTGAACTTCCTCGCGGGACTGCTGCTTCTATTTGTCGAGACCGAGGAACAAGCCTTCTGGCTGTTGAACATCATCACCCGCGTCTACCTGCCAGGGACGCACGAGATGAGCCTCGAGGGGTCCAAGGTTGACTTGGGCGTCCTAATGGTTGCGTTGAAGGATTCCATGCCAGGTGTGTGGAAACAAATTGGTGGCGACGAGCTTGAGGCGGGCAAAAAGAACAGGGGACGGCGGGGCAACAAGTCAGCGCATGGCGGTAACTCCGGCAGCATCAGCGACCCCAACCGCCTCCCCGCCATAACGCTCTGCATGACGGCTTGGTTCATGTCCTGCTTCATTGGCACACTGCCCATCGAGGCCGTGCTCCGCGTCTGGGACGTGTTCTTCTACGAAGGTTCGCGCACACTGTTCCGCATCGCCCTGACCATTTTCAAGCTCGGCGAGCGTGAGATCAAGGCGGTGCAGGACCCGATGGAGATGTTCGGCGTGGTGCAAACCTTTCCCCGCCGCTTGGTCGACTGCAACTTGCTCATGGAGACCTGCTACAAGCGGCGTAACGGCATCGGCCACCTCAGCCAGGAGTCGGTCGAGGAGAAGAGGCAGGAACGCCGCGACGGCATCCGCCGGTGGAAGACGGAACAAGAAGCCGCCGCCAGCGACAGCAACAGCCCGCGACCTTCGACCAGGCACCGGTTCGGCGCGGCGGCGCTGGGGTTGGACCTCGCGGCCGACCTGGACGAGGTGCGTCGCAAGGCCACGCTGTTCGGGCGGCGAAAGGATCGCGAGCAGGACCGAGCTGCCGAGGTGGCCTAGTGTGCACCTCGGCCTCTGTCGACCATGCCCCGAGACCCGTTGATGCTCAACTGACAGTCATTTACCCATCTCTTTCTTTCCCCTTTGTCACAAGGCTCGCGTCGGGGACGCTTTCAATTCTTCGCTGCCACCAGACCCCCGTCCTTGGTCCCGCTCCTTTTGTTATCTTCTGGACAGCAACATGTGAGATTACCTGGGCTGCGGCGATTGGGAGGGCCGGTGAATGCTTCATGTGATTTTAATGTGTTTTTATTATTCCTGGAACGGGTCCCCCCATCTAGCGAGCTTTCTCATCATCTGGTAGCGTTCTTATGGGCATTGGCATGGCATGGCATGGCATGGCATTGGGCGGGCGGAGAAGACAGGCACCGGTCTCCTTGCTGGTGGAGAGGGAAAAAGAAAAGGCTACTTACTCAAAAGATTTCCTATGTGTGGAAGGTTGGGGTTATAACTGGATACAAGATATCGGGGGACGAAAATGGGCGACATCGCACAGTAGATGGCGGCGACAGATCATGGTAGATGAGCAATCAAACAAGATATATATACCCTTTGCCGGGCCTGTGTCATGACCTTCCCTAAGCTTGTTGTGTGACTTTTCTTGTGGATGTACTGCCAACACTCTACATGGCCGTTCTGTGGAAGAGATATGGAAGCGGACAGGCGAGAACAAGGTGCAGCGATGGGGGGTCGCGAAGGCGGCAAAAGACATTATTCAATTCCATGTTCTGTATCCGCTGCACTATTGATGAACCCATCAACTCTGCTATGTATGCACTGAGTCTGACGTTCAACTGACGTGGTTGGCGGGCCTGACTCCACGGTTCCTCTCCACCACTTTCACCGATTAGTTGCGCTGGTCGGCCATATCCCATCAGGAACCCCCTTTCCACCTCAGCTTCGCTTCACCGTATGCCGCGGGTCTGAGACGCCTCTTGGTGCGCCTCCTTGTTGGCATTGTTCTCTGTGTATCCCTCGCGATCCCGGAATCCTCCTCCGCAACGCCTGCCTGCCTAGTACCCCACAGGAGCCTTGCGAGCGCGATGACCGGCCGAACGAGCAGCTGCCAGATGAACCCACCCAACCTGGCAAAGCAATACGCAACACCCGAGCCACTCTACGGCCCCGCAGTCCCACTCCCCCCCGTTCCAGCAGGCCCAGCAGCAGCCCCCTTCTTATCATCCGGCCCCTCCCCAGCAGCGGCCGGCACATCAAACCGAACCGGCCCCTTAGCGTAGCGCTGAACATAGGCGCGGGCATTCTTATCGAACTCCTTGCGGTCGGCGCGGAACTCGTCGGCGATGCGGGCCTCGAGGGGGTCGTCGGGGAGGGGCTCGACGAGCAGGGCGCGCACGGCCTCGAGCACGCCCGCGAGGCGCGTCGACGGCTTCCAGTTCTCGGCTTTGAGCGGGCCCAGGCAGATGCTGCCCAGGTTGTCGTTGGTCACGTTGGGGTGGTAGATGCGCGTCGCGAAGTTCACCGTCGGCGCCCGGAAGGGGTAGTCGACGGGCAGGGTGACGACGAGCCCGAATTTGCCGCCCGAGTAGACGGTGCCCTCCGGGCCGTCCATCGTTATGTGCCATTTGTGGAGGTCGGAGTCGTCGGGGAGGGTGATGCTGATGCCGGTTGGAGGGTTGGTGGTGCATTCGGCGAGCTCCTGCGGGGGTGGGGGTTAGTGGGGTTTACGACGGGGTTGGGTATGGGGGAATTTGGGCGAAGGTGAGGAGATGTGCATACTTTGGCGATACGCTTGTTTTGGGACGACATCTTGGGATCTTTGTTCCTCGTTAGATCGTGTTGTGTATCAAGATATTGCTGAAAGCGAAGTTGAAGTTGGTTATGGCGGGGTTGGACTAAGGAGGTCAGCCGGTGGGCAGTGCTAGACAGCGATGTGGGAAGTGGTGAGCGGAAGGGTCGCGTCGAAAATCTAGGGAAAAAAAAAGTGGTTGAAGTTGGGGTTATGGGTGAGAGTTGGGATAAAATACCCAGCAGTCGGTGTTGACGGAGGCCGTTTGATGCAGGGCAGTCAGCCAGTCAGGCGAACAAGCTCATGGAGGGAGCAGCCTGGAAGGTGGGGTTGAGCTTGTGGGTGACGCGCGGGATGGGCTGCCAAGGATAAGCTCCGGCTCTGGACCCGAGCTAACAATCGAAGACGGTTCCGCTATCTTGGTCCCGTCATCTTGGTTCCGCCATGTGAGGGAGGGGTGCCAAGTTTGCGAGGGGCATGACATGACACTCATATTGCGTGGATGTAAAACAGGGCAGGCCCCGCGGTTGTCAAATCCTAGGAGCATGCTTCTTCCATGGATACCGAAACGCCTTACCCCTTAGAATCTAGTGGTAGCCTGTCCTTGTAACTCCGCAAACCTCAAACCATCTCGCGATGGAGGCTGAGAACGACCCCATTTCCCTAAAGCAATAACAACGTCTGTGTTCGGTTCAATTCCCCCCGACCCAAGCATATTCCTCCCCCGCCTCCTACTCCCCTTCATCCTCTTCATCTTCCTCCTCCGTGGCATCAGCATCTTCCATTACCGGCTCTGGCAGCGCAGGCGCAGCACCTTCCTCCCGCCCCTCGTCGCCCTCCTCATGCTCTTCTTCAGTCTCGTCATCGTCCCCAATCTCATCATCTCCGCCATGTTCCTCGCCGACCCCACCTTCTTCTTCCTCCTGCCCGGCCTCCTGCTCGACTTCCATTTCACCCTCACCCTCTCCTTCATGGTCATGTCTGTCTCCTGACTCCCCCTCCCCCTCCGGATCACTCTCCTCATAAGAACTATCCCCACCCGCCGCCCCCTTCACCGTCCCAGCATCCACACTCCGCCTAAGATAGGGAAACAACAGCGACGGCGGTATATCGTCCTCATAGTCCCGCCGGCACGTCGCTGAGGTCACTCTCATCGTCCGCAGAGTCATGCACACTGCCAGGCGGGCTCGAGACATCACTGCCCCTCTTCCGCACCAACCCCACCACGCACCGTCGCCCTCCGCGCCGCAGCCCCCTGTCACTCCACAACCACACGACGGCCGCCGCCGCCCCCAGTATCATCACCCACATCCTTCATCTCCACATCCCCTTCCTCCGCCTCCTCCTCATCCTCCCCACTCTCATCACCACTCCCCTCCCCAGCAGCGCGCCCGCCCGCCCGCGCGTTCGACACACTGCCCATTCTAGACCTCGTCTTGCCACCCCCCGCAGCCCCGTTCGTCGCGCCGCCGACCGACCGCGGCGGCATCTCGGCAGCGCGCAGCACGGCCTGCACGGCCTGTTCCGCCTTGCGCAGGATGTTGGGCCGGCGGATGCCGCCGCCCGCACGGCCCGACGCAGCCCGTGGTGGGGCATCGCCCGCCAGCGAGTGGCGTTCTGACTTGTCGCGGTCGGGTTGTTCCGAGTTGGCGCGTAGGGAGCTTAGTGCTGAGGGGGTCATGTCCTTGTCTTTGTCGCGGGTGATGAGGGCGTGGAGGAGGAGGCTGGTGGATTTGGGGTTGCTGCTGTCTGGTTTGGATTCGGGGTCGCCGGGGGGATGGTGGGGTAGTTTCTGTTGGTCGGAGTCGAGGAGGTCGGGTTTGACGTGTAGGTAGATGGCAGAATAACAGTCTGTGATGAGGTCGTCGATGGGGCCGGCCTTCATGAGGTTGGAGTTGAGCTTCTTGATTTCAACGGCCTCTTTCATGGCCGTGAGGGCGGCGTTGTCCTCTGCTGCGGGGGTGGTAGACCAAGCAGTTATTTTCTCGCCCACCGTGTCGAACTCCTCCTGGCTGAGTGTTTTGAAGGCATCCTCTTCCGTGAGAGGCACCTCAAATGTCCGACGGAGGAGCTTGACATAAGCCAGGACGCCAAACTGCCACAGTTCGTTGAAATGGTAGAAATCGGCGCCCTTTTTGCGGATGCGGCGAAGTACGGCTTCGAGGCTGACGCGGTCTTTCATGACGTCGAGCACCCTGACCATATACCGGATGTACTGTTCCGTGTAGACGTGGTGGCGGCCCGGCCGCTCGGCGTCGCATTTCCACACGTTCATTACCATGGTTTTGGTGAACATGCTTTCCCGTAGGACGTTGAAAGCGGCCTTAGCAGCAGCGGAACTTTCGTTATCGCTGGGGTCGGTATCTTCGTCGAACAGGATGCGCGCATGGCGCATGATGATGCGGTGTTGCCAATTGGACTTGTCTTTATCGCGCAGGTACTTCAAGCACCGCACCACGTACGCTTCCCAGTCCTCGGCGTTGACAACGGATATCTCCTGCCCACGGTCTGGCGCGTATGGTTGGTGTTGTAGAACGTTTGCGGCCGCTTGGATCTCCATGTCGCCCCGCATGACCAGTTTGTGGACAACCGACACGATTTTGTAGTGCGGCTCTAAAATCGGATCCTGACCATGTCGGGGTTTCGGCAGCGATGAGACCACTTCGATCGTCTTCTCCAGTGCGTCGATGACGGCCTGGACCGTCGGACGGCGCAGTCGGTTCTTCTCGTCGAGTTCCTCAGGCGGTTTCTGGTACATCTTCCAGAGACACTTGGCAACCATGTAGGGGTTCTTCCAATCTTTGGGTTTCCCCACCATCGCTTTCCGGAAAAGGTGAGCAGCAAACTTCCAGACTTGATAGTCGGTCATCTCGTTGTGCACGATCCTCTTATATGTGCCCGCCCCTTCCGCCTCGATGAAGAACCTATTCTGCTCGGCATGCTGGAAGGGTTCCATGGCAAATGGGCTGCGGCTTGACGAGTACATGCGCATCCCAAATTCGTGGAACATGTCGTACAGCGCTTCTTCATCGTCCTCCAACGATGTGAGAACCGCAGGGTCCGACGCCCACGCGTATGAATGGGACAGCGCCATGATGTAGCTATGGATGGCATTCCGTTGGAATTTCACAAGCTCGGCGCGTTCCTTGTTCATTTTGTCGGCAGTCCATAGGACTGACTCGTCCAACTCGTAATCAAAACACTCAGCCAGGCGAAACCAAGCATCCCAACGGTCCGGTGTGTACTGGAGTTGCAGGCGCAAGAAGGTGGCCCCGATACGCAGGTCGTCGGTAGCCCCCGGCGTTTGTCGGCGATTCAAGTCGACGCCTTTGAACTTGGTAAGAGCGATCATCCCGAGAAGGAAGAACCAGCCCTGCTTGGCCGGCGCGCTCTCGGGGGTGTTGATGGTGACAGCGTCCAGATCTACGCTCCCCGTCAAAGCCTGGTAGAGATGCAGCGGATGTATCGGCGCTTTGAGATATTCGGAGTAGTTGCGGAGGTTGTGAGCCATTTGGGGGCTCGACTTGGCAGATCCGATAGCTTGTTGCATACGTTCGATGGTCGTTTTGAGGTCGGATTTGAGCAAGTCCTTCATCGACATTCTGTTTGCCAGCATGGTGACCTTGCCGACTAACTGTAGTGCCTGCCGTTTCTCCAGGTTCTCAGGTTCGCAGCCGTGGTCTTGCACCTCCCAGATTCCTACCCCGAGCTTCAGACCGTGCAGATCGTAGAGTACCTGGCCGAGGTAGTCTTCCCAGTTATCAATGTTCTTCTGCTTCAGGAGCTCCACGCGCATCATTTTGAGGAAGATCTTGTTAGATGACTTGCAGCACTTGCGAAGACCCAACACTTGATGCACCGCAGCCAAGTAATCGGCGAGGTCGTTTTCGGGTTTTGGGAAGAGCTCAGGGTGTTGGTTTAGCCCGACCTTCAGCATGGTATATTGAAGGGACCAGGTCCGCACTTGCATTTCCTGGAGCTTGTTGAGGAAGGATCTCAGGTCGGAGGTGCTCGCTGGTGCAGGTTTCATGCCAATCCGCGTCTCGTCTTCAAACATGGCGGCTACATGTAACATGCAGCTGACTTTGGCAAGAGCAGACATGCTCGACCTCAAGTGATCATCATCCATGATGTCGAACGAACTGTTGTCATTCAAGGCCAGGTGCAGTGACTGGATGATCAGGTCGTCGAGGGCTTTGAGCAGACTCATGAACTGGTTTCGCCTCGGCTCATCAGTGGAGTGAAGGTAGTCGTCACTCTCAAGGTCTGATATGACGGTCTCGATACTTCGAAGGAAGCACGAGAACTGCTTGGTGGTATACTGGATTTTCCCGTAAGCCTCGCCTAGTCTTGACCACAGCAGCAGTCGCAGTTCCGTGTTACTGCCTTTGAGGAACTTCCACAGGTCTGTCAGCTCCTGGCTGGCGCACTCTGCGATAGGCAGCTTTCCCGGCTTATCACTGGGAGCATCGCCGCCAGCGTCAGCTTGCTTGAGGGTGGCGGGTATGGTGATGTAAACGCCCTCGGGGTTAAGGACAGGCTCCAGACTTTCCACGACGGCCACTGGGTTGCCATTATCTTCCTGGAACAGACCCAGAAAGAAATCCATCGTTGTCAGCTTAGATATTTCACGTTCCGCGGCAGCCGTTGATATCTCCGGCATAGTAGTGTTGTTAACGAGGTTGACTTCCGTCGCAGCAGACCCCAAAAGAAAGTCACGCAGGCTATGCCAGCAGTTCAGGACATGATCTCTTGGTGTGCCTTTTGCCATCGTGGTTGAGGCTACGGATGCCCAGAGAAAGCGGAGCGCAATGGGATCGTCCGGTTCCAGGGTTCGAAGTCTAATGACCTCGCCAGCCATATCCGCCCACCTGTCCACTCGACATTTCGCTTCCAGTTTTGCCTCTTGATCCGCGGTGCTGTTAGGATCCGTGATGTGATCGTAGACATCGAGGTGGAGCTCAAAAAGCGTCTGGGCGAGGCCTGCGAGCTCGCTGATTGTTTCGCCTTGTACGTCCTTGGGAGATAATTCGAGTTCATAGGCGAAACTGTCATAGATGCTCCCCTCAAGGCGGCCGGTGACGTCTATTACGGCCGTCCTCAACTGGTCTGGCCATTTGTACTCAGTGTAAGTCTTAACCAGGGCTTTCACATATTTGTAGGCGATGTCGTGTATGGTATTCCAGCCTTGGTTGACGTTTTCCACAAAGCTTTTCAAGCCCCGAGAATCGTCAAACGCTGACGCCTCCTGGGCCCGCTGGGAGCCGGTCTTTGCATGCTCTAGGAAGGCAGAAAGGCTGAGCTGAGGTAGCTCCCTCTTGCTCAACAATACGGCGCCTGTATCTTCGTCAAAATGTGTTATCGAATGTGAGAGGTCAACCGTGGCCTGATTTTGGATCTTGCCCGTCCGGTCGTCGGCGGCACACGAGTCGAGCACCTCGGCAATTCTCCCGAGGGTTACCTGGTCTGTTACCCCAAGGTTCTCCAGAAGATTTTTGGTGGTCTGAAACAGGTTTTGGTCGGCAGCTTGCAGCGGCTGGAGCTGGCTCGCGAGAAAGGTGGCCGAGTCCATGACTTCTTCCACGGCTGTGTCTCGCCGTCTGGTTCGCTTGCTCCTTTTCACATCCGCAGCATCGTCTTCAAGAGCGTCAGGAATGCCGGCTGCGGACTGAGAGCGTTTCCTCGTCGATATGGAATTATTCGGGTCCTTAGACGCCTGCTCGTCCGTCGGGCTAGATTCGGGTGCTGGTGCAGACGTCAGTCCTTCCACCGTTGCTTCCTCGCTCGGCGGCTCTGCAACCGCTTCTTCCGCCTCCACCACTTCGTCCGGGGTACCTGACTGTGAAGAAGGCTCCTCTGGCTGTAGTTGCATGTCGACTTCCATCTGGACGTCTTCTTGCTCGTCCGTATCGGGTAGTTGGATTAGGACCCCCTGACCCGCAAGCCCCTCCTTTGTAACGAAGCGTACAATAGCAGCGCCAAGTTCAGACCAGGATGGAATCGAAATCGGGAGGACAGAGCGGGCGGTCTCAATTTCTGTATCGCGCAGTTCCTTAACAGCTAACCTTTTGGTGGGGTCCGGCAGAAACGGCATGGGGTCCATAAACCGGGCCAAGTATGGGGGCATCTCCCGGTGCACGAAGGGGTTCATGATTGGGTGGGTCAGCGCCATGTCGTCGCCCAGAACCTGCAGTTGTTGCTTGAGCTGCTCGCCGGCAAATCCCTCGGCCAGCGACGGCGGATCGACTTCCTCCACAGCCGGGTCATCCTCCAACTCGATGGCGGCTTCGAGACTATAACGATTGATCCGAGCGCTCTTTAGAAATGCGGCAACCCGAGCAGTTTTCCTCCACAGTTCGGCATCCGAGGGGTCACGATCAAGGGCTACGCAAAAGTCGTCCAAAGCCCTCTGAGCGTCCTTTTGCACTCCGGCGTCTTTGAGAAGTGGTTCTCTTTTCTTCGTAGATTTTCGGACCTTGTGTTTGATACGGTCGATGACGAATTGACCGTGGTTTTTGTGAGACAAGTAGAGTGCCTGGGGGAGACTGCTGCCGATCCCGTCGACATCTGCGCCGACAGGAGGGAGGCCTTGGGCGAAAACAGGCTCCGTAGCGAGAGTGCCATCTTGCCCTGCCTCGAAGCGTTCGTAGTCTGTCTTGCTTTCTGGGTATTTGAAGATCTCGGATTCGAAGAGCGCATCGTAGGCGTCGGCAGCCTGGTCGAAGGACTGAGGGCCTTGCGCATGGAGTTTGAGGGCGTTTTGGAAGAGTTTGAGGGCATCGTCGACCTTGGAGATAAATTAGAACCAGGCAGAGCAGATATTTCAGCACAAGTGCATCATACTTGGAGATCCTTCGTTGTGTCAACCTCCTCATCGATGTTCTCTTCCGGTTCGACGTTGATGGCCGAGAAGGCGGCCTGTAGAGGAATCAATTAGCGTCAGGAAAGTAAGGGTAATGTGGATTGGATCTGGAATCACCATCTTGTCGCGAGCCGTCAAAGTATCATATAGTTGCGCGGTTGTTGGAGAATGAGAGTTGCAGCATTGCCGTGGTCAGTGCCACAACTTCTCCAGACTCCTTCATTCAACCCGCATCATTAAGAAATGGCCGCGGGAGACGCGACTGCCAAGCCAGAGCCAAGTCCTGTCGTTTGAGAAGTTGACGTTATGTGGCCCGAGCTCCTCCAACTGGGCTGTCTTTTCTGCGAATGCCATTCAGTGCCCGCCCTGGCCGCCAAGCACAACCGCGCAACAACCTTGGACTAGGTAGCTGGGAGCTGCCCAGACCCCCCAGACAAGCAAGCAAGCCAGCCAAAACCGCCCCGAGACATTGAAAGGGCAGGGGACTTGGACGACACGACGACGGGGACGGCCCAGACATATTCAGCCAGCAGCAGCGGTTCCGAACTTTGCTCACCCCTATTCTACCTTCTGGATCTACGATTAACTATTCGAATTGAGTTTAACTATCGAGCTTCCCGCCAGCGCATTGCGGTCTAAAGCCACGGCAGCTGTTTTGTCGCCATGGTTGCGCCAGCAGTGCCCGAGTCCGTGCCCCCCGCGATCGCCCTCCCAAGGTGGACTTAAACTAATGTGTCTTCGCGTAGGTTGACGGAGGAGGTGCTTCACGAAGCAATTGATGCCCGTACCGACTCATTGGCCTCGTTGCGCGAGCTTGGCCCTCCCGACCTTGTGCACCTGATTAAGCAGCCGCTGAGAAGTGGAGGGAAACACGTTAGTCTTCGGCTCACTTCGATTGCCTGTCCTACCGCTGACTTTGGGGTGTTTAGACAGGCGTCTATCACCATGTTACCGGCGTCGATGCCTCTTCGTCAGCGAGTCTCGCGGCGTACATCAACACACTAGCTTACAAGGAATTCGGTCCATCTGCCACCACCAAGACCCTTGAAGGCACATACTGGTAATTGGGTTTGTCTCGTTGGTGTGGTTCTAGCCGCTAACTCGGTTCTAGCTGCTACAATGCCTTCTCGCGCGTCGACATGCGTGTGCACGCGCCATTCCCTGGATCTGTGGAGAGCTTCTGCATCGACGAACGAGGCGAGAAGCGCAAGGCGACCGACGAGCTCTGGCTTGAGACATACTTGTGCAGCGTGCTGCGCGCATACTCGTATGCAGATGACGGCACGGGCGACACCATTCGAAAGATTATGGGCGTGAGACGGTTCAACCCCGTAACCAATACCGAGACCGAGCATCGCTTCCTTAGTGCGGCCGAGCATTTGTTCTTTCGGGGTAAGAGATATAGGACCAGCGTTTTGCGGCTACGGATCGGCTAACGGCACGCGCGCAGGATGGCAGCTAGGATCCGACTCTATCGTGCAGGTTCCGAACGTGGTCTCGAACCACCTCACGGCGGGTCTACTCAGATACTTCCACACTACCGGCAGATATACCTCTGGCATCAACCTGTTCGAGAAACTGAGGACAGAAAACGTCGAGGTGGCATCTCTGCTGTCCAAAGTCTTATTTATGGGCAACGAAGAGGTTCAGGGGATACGTATCCTTCACGACGCTTTGAAGCAGTCGCCGATGGATTATGTTATGCTGGACACCCAGGCTGAGTTCTTGCTTAAAAAGGCCAAAACCGCCGCGACTCCGGAACAAAAAGACGAGAGACTCCGGATGTCCCTTGGCTGTGCGGACCGAAGCACCATTGCCGCCCCCAGCGAGTTTGGGACGTGGGCCAGGTTAGCCGAGGTGTATGTAACCATGGAGGACTGGGAGAACGCCCTCACCACGCTCAACTCATGTCCCATGTTTACCTACCAAGACAAGGACGCGCCCATCATGCCGGAACCGAGAGACATTCATCTACCTACGCTTCAGGAAACCAGGTTGGATGAAATCGACAGCGAACCCGAGTCCCGTTATTCCGAGCAGGTGGATCCGAGCCTGTTGAATCTCCGCGCAGCCGCCTACCGTGGGACCTTTAAGCATGCATACAGCATCCTGACGGAAATGACAGCCAAGATTGGCTGGGACCAGCTGCTGAAGATCCGGAGCAATGTATTTGTGATGGAGGACGAGTACCGTGAGAAGCAGGAGTCGACCAGCTACCCTAAGAATCGCAATGCCAGTACCGACGCCCTCCGCGGGACCCCGGATCCCACCATTAACGGTGCAGCTTCAGAAGCTGGAGGCGATGAGGAGAAGGAGGGTGCTGAGGGAGTGGACAAGGGGAAAAAGAAGGAGAAGAATGAAGGAGAAGGGGCGGAAGGGGAACAAGAAGCAGACAGCGAGTCTGCTGCCCAGACGCTCGCTCCTGGCAACAGGGCCGAAGATATTGAGAGGCCCTCGAGCGCCGTCGACCCGGACGAAGTCAAGAAGGGTGACGACAGTGTAAGCTATTATGGCGCTCCTGCCAGTTATATTCACATCACTAACAATCTACGCAGGGCTCTAAGGAAGACCACTTCTCGCGCCTTAACAACAAGCGGCTCTGTGAACGCTGGCTTGACAGCCTGTTCATGGTGCTCTACGAGGACTTGCGTGTTTACACCATTTGGCGCACACAGATGGCCCAGTACCGCGCGCAGAGCATGCAATACAAGAAATCGGCCGAGGAGTGGGAGATCCTGGGGTCGCTGGCCGAGCGCTTGCAGCACGTCGACGAGGCGGTCGAGGCCTACCGCGCCTGCCTCGCCCAGCGTTTCAGCCCCAAGGCGCTGGCGGGCATCCTCAAGGTGTTCGAGAAGACCAAGGGGAGCACACGCGACACCGTGGCCGCCACCATAAGACTGGTGACGTGGCAGTACAGGTGGTACAGCGAGTTTTCGCCCGAGCTGCTGCACACGGTGCGCATGCTGATCGAAGACGAGGGCGCTGTCAAGATCAGGAGCATTATCCAGGCTACCAACCTGCCACAGAATGTGCTCGACTTGACCCATCATTATGCGGCGCTCTGCGCCACATTCAGGAGCAGCGGGACTGACGGCTAGTGGCCGGAGTAACTAGCAATAGGGAGGTGGAGAACGAGGAGGTGAGATGGGAGCATGGCTTTCGCGTCTATGATTCTTAGGAGTAAAGCTGGCTGGGATAGGAGTGCTGTGCGGTGGTCTTGTGATTGCTGGTCGATAGTTTAATCGGACGTGGCCATGACAATGATTCCGTCTTGGCATGATGGACAAGATGGCATCTCTATCGCTTGAATCCCATTCCTTGAGACTTCGGGGTGGCATTGTGACGAGTGACCGACGTTGTACAAACGGCCTTTCAGGGGCAGGACGAAGTGGTTGCGTACCATTTGAGCGGGGAAGTTAACGCGCAGCCATCGGAGACAAGAGTCTCGTTCCCGAGTCACCGAGAGAGGCGCCCTCGGCGGCAGCAAGCCAACGGTGGTCCACTCCACACTTGTGGGAATTCCGGCCCTCCAAGCGCCCCAACCGCATCAAAACCGCATGACGCCGGACCGTAACGCCGGGTCTTCGGGTCGGGATCGCGCATCTCTGGGCGAATAGCCTGGCCCGGTGTCAAGGTTGCCCACTCACCAACACCCCGCTTGACACCGAAGCCAAGTGGACTTTTTATCCCACCAGAGGCGAGACAGGGCGCGGGGGCGGACACACATAACGTCATCAGAACTTGAGAATCGAAGCACTTCGAACATCGGGTCAAGTTTTACCCCGCGTTTCAGTTGGTCGAGCTTGTGAATAAAGCCGCGTCCTGTCTTCGAACCCCTCTCTAGTTTTGCGTGTTTGAGCAGCAGCACATCACCCGTGTCGTACATACATCCAAAGATATCACAATGGCCGAGACTAAGAACACATCGTAAGCAGCTCCTTAGCTCCCAGCCTTTACCATCCCACTTAACACCCTTTTTCAGAAAGACCTTCCAGCTCAACACGGGCAAGACCATCCCCGCCATCGGCCTGGGGACATGGCAGTCCCAGCCCGGCGAAGGTCGGCAAGGCGGTTGAAGCCGCGTTGCGGGCCGGCTACCGGCACATCCGACACGGCCTTTCATACGTCAACGAGAAGGAGATCGTCGAGGCGCATCAGCCGCGTCGGGCCGTGCCGCGCGAGGAGATCTTCCTGACCAACCAAGCTCGACAACCCCTGGCACAAGCGGGCCCCTGAAGCGCTCCAGCGCTCGCTCGAAAACCTGGGCGTGGATTACCTCGACCTATACCTCATGCACTGGGCCGTCGAGCACCACCCCCGAGGATCTCAAGAAGCACTACCCCGACTGGGACTTTGTCGACACCTGGCGCGAGATGCAGAAGCTGATGGACACGAACAAGATCCGCAACCTGGGTGTTAGCAACTTTGGCATCAAGAACCTGGAGCGGTTGCTGAATGACCCGAGCTGCAAGGTATGTGGTGCCGTCCTGGTGGTTGGCCGTTTTGCTCAGACTGCTTGCTGACTCGTTGTAACTAGATCGTCCCGGCCGTCAACCAGATCGAGCTCCACCCCGGCAACCCGTCCCCCAAGCTCATCGCCTACTGCGCCGAGAAGGGCATACACTGCTCCGGGTACTCGCCCCTCGGCAGCAGCGACTCGCCGCTGTACAAGAACGAGACGATTGCCTCGATCGCCAAGGCGAAGAACCGCAGCGTGCAGCAGGTGCTGCTGATGTGGGGTGTGAAGAAGGGCTGGAGCGTGCTGCCCAAGAGCGTCAACCCGGACCGCGTCAAGGCCAACTTCGACTTGGACGGGTGGGACCTGACGGACGAGGAGGTGGCCAAGATCGACAGCATTCCGGATCGGTTCAAGGTGTGCGGTGATGCATGGCTGCCGATCAAGGTGTTCTTTGGCGATGACGAGTAATGGACTCAAAAGAGTCTTGGAGAAGTTAGACAGCCCAAAAATAAAAGCCACCAAAAAAGAATCTAACCCAACCAGACTTACCACCGGCGTTGTGACACACCAACCCATCGCCGCGCGGGGCCCAATCTCCGCCGGCCATGCAGACTCCCTCACTCGGTCCTTGACACATGTAACACAGCAGCAGCATTAAAACACCTCCACCCCAATAAACAACAACACCCCTCCCCCCCCCCCCCCAAAAAAAAATTGGAGAGCAAAAAGAAAAAAATAAGGTAACAACAAAACACAGATTAATAAAACAGGAAGCCCTCGGAGATGGATTCTCGCAGACCACCACAGCAAAAACGTGCATGAGAAAAGTGAATGAAAGAGGAACAAAACAACTACAAAAGGCACGACCCACCGAGTAAAACAGACAAAAACAACAAAGAAAAAAGAATTGCAAAGACAATCAACCCCACAACCCACACCACTCCCAGTGGTAGGTATTGTTTTTAAAAAAAACAAAAAAAAAAAAACAATAAATAAAATAAAATAAAAATAATAATATAAATAAAAAATTAATAAAAAAAAAAAAAAATATTTAAAAAAAAAAAAAAATAAAAAGAGAGAAAAAAAAGAAAACTAAAAAAGCAAC